TGGCAGCATTGTAGAACAGAGCTACTTCAAGTGTCAAGAAGCTGCTATACATATGTATATTGGATGTGTGATATGGTGTGTGTGTGTGTGTGTGTGTGTGTGCGCGTGCGCGTGCTAGCATGAGTGTATGTGTGCGTATGTGATGCATATGTGCATACACACGCATATGTACTGTGTATATAATTATGTGCATTTATCCCTTGGTCCCCATGAGGGCTTGATTCAGCCCCTCCACCCCCATGGATATCAAAATCTGTAGATACTCATGTGAAATAAAACGACATTTGCATATAACCCATGCACATCATCCCATGTACTTTCTGAATCTCAAGGTCACTCATGATACTGACACCTGATACCAGTGGAGATGCGGTGTGAGCAGTGTTAGACTGTGTTGGTAGGAATAATGACTGGAAGGAAGAAGCTGTGTGTGTTCAGTATAGGCCACTGTCATTTGCCATTCCCACCTCACATCTAGAACCTCAGGTACAGAGGCCAACTGTGACTCCTCCCAAAGCCAAGGCGACTGACTTCAGTGTGAGAACTCTATCTAACACAACCCTGGAGTTCTGTTATTTGCACAAATCCCCTTATCTTGCCAGAGGGGGAGCTAAGTGGGAAGGCCCAGGCCCTGCTGTGCAGAGCAGAAGCCAGGGCAGGGCCTGGAAGCAGGATCTTGAACACTGGCCAGATCAAGGTGAGCTCTCCCTGAGCCCCCAAGCTGTAACAGCCTTCATTTGTGTGTCTCCGCAGACCAGATGTCTGCCCTGTGTGTGCCGATGCCTCAAGACTGTGACTCTTGTGTGGGGCAGCTCGGGTCTTATTCCTGAGCAAGAGCCCAGTGTGGGTTGGAGGACTGTCCCACACAGTTCTGGCTGTGGGACAGGCAGGACAGGGGGCTTTCTCACTGGGTACATCCATTAGGGTGCTATTACTTTCTTTCCCGCCTCATGAGCGTGTTCCGAGTCTAACCAGGACTGGTGGGTAGTCCTCAAAGAAGGGAGTCACTCTGGCCCAGGCCACAAAACACTTCACAACATCCATGAGTAACTGATGGTCTCTTGGGGCAGCTTCCCAGCAGGGTGGAGCTAACCCAGAGCTCCCTGGGGTGGTCTCTAGCCCTACATAGAAGGACAGCAGGCTCTCGAGTGTGTGGTGAGAGGCCATTTAGCCAGACTCACAACTTCTTTCCAGGCAGACTAAGGTCCAGGAGTGGAGGCTAGGGCGTCAGGGCTCCCCTTAGGTACTAGGAGGAGGGAACAGAGCCCACGTTCACTCAGCAGCTAGGAACCTATGCCTGAGCCTTGATGAGGTGGCCCTGTGGGACGGAGAGGACAGAGGGGAGTCCTGGGGAGAGAGTAGTGCGATAAAGTGAAATGGAGGGGAGGCCCGCCCACTCTCACCATTTCTTCCCTTGCTCGCTGTCATAGCTGAGATGGTGGCAGTTTGTCTCAACTGTCAGCTTGAATGATTGCCTTGAGAAGTGCAAGGAGATCAGCGCCACACACCTTTGGGTGTCTGGGGTGGTGCTTGTTTCCAGAGAGGGCTCTGGCCATTGGGTGCATTGAATCCTTTCATGGGTTTATAATACTGTGGCATTGCTGACAGGCCTGCCTAGTCAGAAGCAGGCTGTCATCGGTGTGTCTCAGGGGCTGAACTTGTCTTGAACCCTTCCTGTTTTCCCTTTTTCCTGTTCCCTGCCTCTGCAGTGTGTGCTGCTCTGACCCACCATGCCCTCCCTCCACGAAAGGCTGACACCTCTGAAACCATGAGTCCAAGACCTCCTTTTAAGTTGTTTGTATCAGGCCGTCTGTCACAGTGACTGGAAAGCTAACACAGTGACATTAGGACAGGGTCTCACTGTGTAGCCCAGGCTGGCCTTGAACCCCCTAATCTTTCCGCTTCAACTTCCAAGAGCTGGGCTGCAGGCAGTACCATCATGCCCGAGGTTGTCAGTATTTTTCATTTCATCCATGTTAATAGTCACAAGTGTGCTGATTTTCTGTTACTATGACTTAGTGTGTTCTAAGGAGGGAAAGCTTGCTCTGGCTCATATTTTCAGAGGTTTACGGTAGTTATCTGTGATGACAATATATATCATGGTGGAGTGTAAGGCATGCTGGCCATGAAGAAAAGAGGAGAAACAGGAAGAGACAGAGTTTCCGGCATGTGCTTCAAGGGCAAGCCCTCGGTAACTTAACTTCCTCCTTCTGGGCTCCATCTACTGATGGTGGCACCACAGGCTGATGGCCAGGGCCGTGGTACATGGTCCTCATGAGGACACTCGCCAAGCATTAACATGGTTTCTCACTACTGTTTAGTCTGCTTTTCTCCAGTGGCTGGTGTCATTGTAGTCTTCTCCCTGGCTTTCTGACCATCCAGCTATCCACTGCAGGGACGTCTGATCAAGCCTTTTATATGCCTCTTAACTGAGTAAGTTGTTTTCTGTTCGTGAGTTTTGAGGCTTTTAAAAGGCATCCCGAATAGATGTCGTGTCTTCACTTGGCTTCCTTCCATGCAGCAACTGCTTGTCATGGAATCATTCCTCCCATGGTGTTCTCCCACCAGGCCTTTTCAAGGGGGGGCATATATTTTGATACCATTGGAGATCATAAATCCTGTCAGCCTGGCTTGGGTCAGGTGCAGGCTCCCTTTTGTGTCTGGGACCAGGCAGGACTGCATTTGACCAAGAGTGGGAAACATGCCTCCCTATAGCAAAACAGTGAGAAAGGAGGAAATTCTCCAAGAGAAACTGATACTGAAGCCAAAATAGGGGGATGGGTACCAGTCAAGAGCATGGGTTGACCACAGCATGGGAGAAGCTAGTGAGCACTCCTAATGTGCTCCAGGCGCCAGACAGGGCCGCAGCTGTTCATTCTCCTGCTTGATTCTCAAGGAGGCTGTCGTCTCCCTTCCAGAGTGAAGGGCACCACAGCCGGAGAGGCCAGCACCCTGTGAGTGTCCCGTAGCTGCAAAGCAGGTGTGTACCATCTTCCAGCCCTGAGGCCTCCGGGCTGGCATAGGACAAGCTATGTGACAAAGTCCGGCCTGTGCCTAAAAACACTACATTGGATCTGCTCAGGGCTTCATTCCTGTAAAGCAGTAGGCCTGCTGCAGTCCAGGAACTTCAGAGACTGGGAACAGGAGTCCAGGAGGGAACCGTACGCCAGGAGGCTCTCCATATGTGGGAAGGTGCTTTGTGTCGATCTTAAGAAAAAATATTTGGCAGCCTTTCTTAATACGTTTTATTTTTCTTTTTATCTTTAATGATCATGTCCTGTGTGACAAGCCAGACAAATTTTGCTTTGACATCTCCAGGGACAGGGACCTTTGACACTGCGTTTTCACTTTCTAGGCCTCTGTTTACTCAACCAGAAGATAAAGGCATTACCTTAGCTGAGTTCTGCAGTTTCTTTCAGCTTTAACTTCTTCAGTTTCCATCTTCAGCACCATTATGTATGTATATGTGCGTGTACATATGTGTGCATATGCACATGTAAATATCAGATGATTGACATATGTCTGTCATGTATGTCAATCATGTATACATCACACGCTTGGATTTGATCTCTACACATGGTATGCATACATCAGACTATCGTAACATACCCCATAAATATGGACAAGTGAAAATGATAAGCTATTTTTATTGTAATTATACAGATTTATTATAATTATACTTAGCTCTCTGTGGACCAAATGGTAATTACTGGCTCAGGAAACAGGTGTCTGTAAGCTTAGCTTCTAGCTGAACTATATACGGTCAGATTGCATCCTCCGAATTTCTGTATGTTGCTTCATTCTCAGGCATTCTCAGGCTGACCTCACCCCTCACCAAAGACTTGGTAAGGTGGTGCCGTCTCGGAGGAGGAGCACTGCTCTCTCAAGAATTGGCCCTAAAGTTCCAGGGCTGAGGCTAACTGACCCTGATCGGTCCGCCTCAGGTCACATGTTCACTTCTTCCAAATCACCACGGATAGCCCCTTCTCTGTTTCTAAGGGGCTGAGCAAGATGGAGAAGGAGACTTCCTGGAGAAATAGCAATGTGCTGTCCCCATTGAGATACACGCCTGCCTGTCAGACACCTCAGTTTCCCCAAATTTGCTACCAGGGTACTGTTTCCTGTGTGTACTGTAACATGTGATCAGGGTCAGAGACATGTTCTCTGGTTGCTAAGATGACTCATGACCTTCATAAACTCAGGAAACAGAGGAGGCAGGTGCTGTTAGCCCATTTCACAGACAGAGAAGCTGAGACTCAAGGGACATCTGAGATGGCCTGAGTCCTCACTGGTGGAAACATCATGGTAGCTCAGTATTCAGGCAATGGAAGGGTTAAGAATGCAAGCGCGTGCTGACTTCTCTTGATAAATTTGAAGCTTTTAAGAATTACTCAACAGAAAAGCCACCTGGGGAGCAGCCAGGCACCCTTGCAGTGCTGGAGTGCAGCTGCCCCAAGATGACCATGTACCATCCCCACTACAGCTCTGCAGGCAAGGGCTATTATTCCCCTTCTGTTAAGGAGGGAGCTAAGGCTCCGAGACAGCAAGGGACTGACCGGTCCAGTTGGTCCGTGGCCACGCTGAGTTTTTCTGCCTGGAACTCCTCTTCAGTCTCAGGGATCAAAGATTTCCTTAGTCTGCTTTGCGTTGTTATAATAGATGGCACAGGTGGGTAACTGGGGGTTTATCTCTTAGAAGCTAGAAGTACACGGAGGGCCTGGCATCTGACAGGGCCCTTGTGATGCTTGACTCATGGCAGAAGACAGGTGAGAGAGCAGAAGGGGGACAGGCGGACTAAACTCACTTTGCTAAGAAACCCACCGGGCATCATGAACCTATCCCTGAGCTAATGCCTCTAACCCACTGGAGACCACGCAGAGGTGCACCTGCCGGCACTGTTCCATGGGGGGTGAAATTCCTGGGATCTGGACTGGAAGAGGATGCTCCAACCCTGTCATCCCCCTGCGGTTAACACTTATCTCCTCTGTCCCTCCATGCAGGTCTACATCATCCGAGTCACGTGGTCCAGTGGCACCACAGAAGCCATCTACCGGCGCTATAGCAAGTTCTTTGACCTCCAGGTAGGCATTTATGATAGGGAGAAGGTTAATTGGACTTGGCCTAAACTGTGACTTTAGAGCCTTGTCTTTTCATGGTCTTGACTCTAAATTGACATCCGTTTTTTGGGGCATAAGTAAGGTTTTTGATTGCCTTATGTTTTGATGCATTTAACTAAATGTCAGCTGCCCCTGAAGGGGGCCAGTCCAGAGGCCACACCTGTCTCTGGAACCACATTGAACCATGTTTTGTATAGTCACCATGTGGTGATCCACAATGCTGAGTCTATCTGGACACCTTGCACACACCGTCTCCCCAGCGCCACCTCCTAACTTTTACACTACTGACTCTCAGTCTGTTTTCCCACCTGAATCATTGGCCTGGATGACTCCCTGCCACCAGGTCCCCAGCTTCTGGAAGCCTTGTCTGACTTTGTTCTCTGCTTATCGGGAACTATCACCCAGTGCTGTGAGCTTCTTCATACTGATGTTTTCAGCTTATCTGTCTCTTCTAGACCATGGCAGTCCTGGGCAGGACCATGTCTTCCCCATCCTTTCTTTCCTTGATGTTTTTATTGAAGGCCTGGCACTTAGTGACTGGTGCATGTTGCCTGAGTGAGTATGTGAATGAATGAATGAATGATTAAACGAATGAACAAGCGAACATCATACACCACCAGTGTCACTGTGAGCTTGGGAACATGAAGACAGCTCAGTAAGATCCATCTTCACTAGCATGACACAGTGCTAATTCTGGGTAGCTTCATCTCCATGTCTCCAAAAGCAGGCAACTCCAAGGAGGCTGGAGAAGTCAGGGTCCTTCAGGAGATGGTGTGGCAAAGTTCTTTGGACAATGCCACAGACAGTAGGGGACATTCCTGGCTTTCTGAACTTTTATGCATTCTCCCTACTGTGTGGTGAGGGTCCAGGGCAAGCCTCCATCCCACGATGGGTACGTGGTGTCTGTGCTGATTGTTTTAGAACCAGCTAAGATTTACTTTGGGTATTTTAGCCATGAGATTGTCCTAGGAGGAGAAGGCTTCCAGGCTTCAAGTACAGCTTACTGTAGGGTTTTCACTCTGTCATTTGACCCGACTTCTCCTTCTGTGTCTCCACTTCAGTGGTATTGGCTTCATCCCTAGTCACACATGATTGCAAATGGCTCCAAGAACTCTGGGCTCATGTGTTATAGTAAAGGATAACAATGACTTCTCACGTGTCCTGACAGGCACTTTGTGTTCATTGGCTTAGCTCTATGCCAATCACCATGACAGCCAATAGGCTTTCCTGAGTTGCTGTTCCACCCCTGGTATCAGGCCATAGTCTGGGTTGGGAAGGAGATTCTTGGGTTCTGGGGATATTAACTGCAGTCATCCTTGACTACATAGACCAAGCTGTTCCTGACCAACCTGCTTTCTGGAGAATGTCGGGAGCCTGTATCCCACTATGGTAAAGGAGGGCAGACAGCGATAGGCTCCTAACTGCTTTCTCAAGTGCTGCTAAAACTGGTCCCTAAATGCCTTCACGACACACAGCCAGGAGTTGCTGCATCGTGTAGAGTGAGTGAGATTCCAGTCACTTAATTATTTAAAGCATAGTGAGCTCATCGTGACACTTTGTGTTCGGCAGCCACATCTAGCAGTGTCACATTCATTCAGTTATAATTTTCTGCTGCTCTGCTGCAAATGAGCTGACTACAAGTAAACAGCGGGGCTACCCGTAAAACTTGCTGTGGGGCTGGAATGCAGCTAAGTGGGAGAATTTGTGCTTCACACACACACAAGGCTGGGAGTTTGATCCCAGCCCCATAATAAATAAACTAACCACCACCTAAAATGAGCAAACAGGGGAGAAGAAAGCACAGGAAAAGGAGGTTTGGGGCAGTGGTGATGACCGGCTCCATCCAGTACCCCGAGCAGCTGACACAGCCCCATGTGAGAGTGACCAATAGCATTCAGGGATGCTCGGTCCTTTCACACAGATGATGCAAATGACCGAGAGCTTTTGCCTATTGCTAGGCTGCTGTTACAGGCAGTGGTGTTTTCCTTGGGAGCTCTGCCTTGGCATTTGTTCAGGGCCTTCTTGCCAGCCTGGCACCTCCAAGAAGGAGCAGCGGGGCTAAGGAACAAGAGTGACATGATTGTCATCCCAGGGGTTATTTACATCTGCAGAGCAGAGCCCACTCAGCTAGTTAACATGAAGAGAGGACCTCTGGACCCTCTGACCAACCTGCTTCCTTTTCCCGCCGGCCACTCTATACCAGGCTCTCCACTTGCTGTTGGCCAACATGCTTGGCATCTGTCATCTCAAGTCAGCACCTTTAGTCCCTGTCAGCTGTCTTTCCCTGCTCTCAGGAACCTGGAGTCCCTGGGTGCCAGTTCCAGCCTCCAGGGGGGAGAATCTCTCGGATCAGACTCTGTCCCAGCCTATCAGCTGTGGTGGGGAGCCGGTGACACTGGGCTAAGGAATGCCTGAATGGGAGGGAGCCCTGTGAAAGTGACTGAATCCTGGCCTGTTGAAGCATGTGGCTAGACCGTTACTTGAATTCCTTACTCCAGTCTGGCTGAAGACAAACCCAAGTTCAAGACTCAGCTGTCCATTTCTCAGGTCTCAGCTTGGCGTTGCCTCTGTCCATTTCTGAGCCTCCATTTCCTCCTTCCGTCGTGTACTTGTTATGGCAGTGAAACAAGTTGGACTTGACTCAGTGTGTTAACTGTCATCTGCCCCTCTCCACAGATGCAGCACCTGCAGTGACCTCCTTTGCTGGGTGTGGTCACAGGTCTTCCCAACCCAAATCCTGTACTTTCTAGGCTCCTGTTTCCACCCTCAGCTTTTCCTCCCACTCAGTGTAGTAATAATTGGGGGTTTGCTGGAGAAGAATCGGCTGCCTCGGGTGGCCGTGCTGGCATGGTGTAGCTGCCCAGAGGCCTGGCTTCATCAGGTTTTAAGGAGGCCCAGATGGTGCGGTGGCAGAGTGGGAAAGCCATATAATTCTAGGGGGTCTGGTTCAAGCTAGAAGCAGCCTCCCCATCCTTGTATTCCCTCTAGAGGAGTGGGAGAGGTTGGGCCACTCAGTTCAGCTGTCCCCACGGAATAGGCAAGGAGGCCAGCCCCTGTGTGGCCATGATACCCCGACATTAAATGATTTCTTGGTCCCATGTCCTATTGGCACTCGGCCTTGATTTTTTTTTTTAAGAAGTGACTTGGCTCACAGAGTGAGGGGAAGGCTGAGGCTTGGTGGAGGAGGAGCAGCTGAGCTCCTGTGCTAAAACAGAAAAAGCAGAGGCCTCAGAAGCTGTGGGCCCAGCCACCCCCTGCTGTGTGGCCTTAGGCATACTCCCTTACTCTTCTGTGTCTGGGTGTTGTCACTGGTGATATGGGAACTTGTCAGTAAAAACAGCCAGCATTTCTGAAGCTGTTCTTGGGCCAGGTCCATTCATTTAATCATCCCAGCCAGCTCATCAGATTACACAGATGAAAGAGCCTGGGATCAGAGAAGTTCATTCACTTGCCACCATTACTTTGGGGAAAAAAGAATGTCCCCTATGGCTTAAGCTCATCTTGGGCCATAGGACAAGGTATTCAAGGCCAGCACAGGGACAGAAAAACAGGATCAACATTTTGATAATGTGCCCCATACCAGCTGCTAGAGGGCATCGGGGAAGCCAGAACCATAGGTGTCCACACTGGTAGGGTGGGAAATTTAAGCAGAGGAAACGGTGTAAAGAGAGGCTGCTACTCATGGTAGAAGAAGCATGGCCCAGGCTACCTCATGGGTAATGACATTGTCAACAGCAAAAATGTCCCCATAATGAGGACTCACCTTCCTGACTGCTTAGAAAAGTTGGACTCCTGTGGTCCTGTCTGCCACTAAGATTTGATGTCTGGCCATGCCTTGTTCATGTGAGACCCCTGAGCTTGGAGTAGGAACTCTGACGTAGGGTCCCCAACCCTTGGCCAGGTCAATCAGCCTCCCTCAGCTTCACTTTCTGCCTTCACCTGTGCTGGTGCTGTGGAGTGGATAAGGATGTCTCAGAGGAGGGAGGCCCTGGGGATGAATGACTAGAGTACCCACAATGCTCAGGGCAGCACCCAGCTACTCTTGGCTAGAACTGTGAGGTGCCCATCTTACATGTCATCTCACAAAATCCTCCCTCGCCAGCACGACTGAGGTCAGTATCATGCACATTTCCCAATTGGAAACACTCAAGTTTAGAGAGGTAGTCACATGCCTCCTCAAACAGCAGGATTATCTTTGGGTGTGTCTGAAAAGGTGACATTGCCCTCAGTTCTGTTCATAGGTTCTCCTCCCCACAGCTTGAGCACCAAGTTACAAATAAGCCAAAGACATGGGGTCCACCCCACACTGTGTTGTGCAACTATTGTACTCTGAGTCTTCCAGATTCAGTATGTCCCCTGGGGTCACAGATGTCGCTGGAGCTACCCTGTCTCACAAAAACAAGCAAACAAAATACAATAAATCAGTTCTGATCCTGGCTGTAGTATGGTTGAACCCAATCACTGCGCACTGGGCAGAGTAAAGCTAGAGAGAAAAGGGCAGATGTTTCACTACAGGTACCCAGCATAATCAGCTGAGTCACAAGGGGGAGGTGGTGGCGTCAGGCTGGTGGATGGAGAGCCATTTGGTGCTCTTGCTGATGCAAGTTTGTGAGATGGTGGAGGAGCTGGGTGCCCACAGAGTAAGTATGCATTAAGGCCACAGAACTGTGCACCCAGATATGGTTGAAAGATGTATTATATGTTAATTATGTGTAACACAATTTTTTTAAAAAAGGGAAGGGCTGGAGAGATGTCTCAGCAGTTAAGAACACTGGTTGCTCTTCCAGAGGTCCTGAGTTCAATTCCCAGCATCCACATGGTGTCTCACAAGAATCTATAATGGGATTTGATACCTATTCTGGCATGCAGGCATACAGACAGAGCCTACGTATTCATAAGTAAATCAAACAAAGCAAAACAACCACCTCCCAGACTACGAAACTATTCCCAAATCAGTTTCAAAGTAGTGTTATTCACAGCCACCTGCAGAATGTCCCTCATTTCCCAAATGGCCACAGGCTCGATGGATGCAGCTGGTAGAGGAAGCATCAGGATTTCACCTGAGCTGTCTGCTCCAAGAGGACTTACCTGAGGTTAGACCAGTGGTATATAAGCCAGTATGGACATTTGTTAGCCAATGTAGATACTCACTAGCCAGCATAGGCATTCATTAGTCAGTGTGAACTCTTGTTAGCCAGTGTGAATGCTCGTTAGCCAGTGTGGGCACTTTTTAGTCAGTGTGGACACTTTTTAGTCAGTGTGGACACTTGTTAGTCAGTGTGGACACTTGTTAGTCAGTGTGGACACTTGTTAGCCAGTGTGGACACTTTTTAGTCAGTGTGGACACTTGTTAGCCAGTGTGGACACTTTTTAGTCAGTGTGGACACTTGTTAGCCAGTGTGGATGCTCGTTAGCCAGTGTGGATGCTCGTTAGCCAGTGTGGACACTTGTTAGCCAGTGTGGACACTTTTTAGTCAGTGTGGACACTTGTTAGCCAGTGTGGATGCTCGTTAGCCAGTGTGGACACTTGTTAGCCAGTGTGAATGCTCGTTAGCCAGTGTGGATACTTTTTAGCCAGTGTGGATACTTTTTAGCCAGTGTGGACACTTTTTAGCCAGTGTGGACACTTTTTAGTCAGTGTGGACACTTGTTAGTCAGTGTGGACACTTGTTAGTCAGTGTGAACACTTGTTAGTCAGTGTGAATGCTCGTTAGCCAGTGTGGACACTTGTTAGTCAGTGTGGACACTTGTTAGTCAGTGTGGACACTTGTTAGTCAGTGTGGATGCTCGTTAGCCCGTGTGGACACTTGTTAGCCAGTGTGGGCACTTGTTAGCCAGTGTGGACACTTGTTAGTCAGTGTGGACACTTTTTAGCCAGTGTGGACACTTGTTAGCCAGTGTGGGCACTTGTTAGCCAGTGTGGACACTTGTTAGTCAGTGTGGACACTTTTTAGCCAGTGTGGACACTTGTTAGCCAGTGTGGGCACTTGTTAGCCAGTGTGGACACTTGTTAGCCAGTGTGGACACTTGTTAGCCAGTATGGAGATCCAAAGATCTCAAAAGGCACCAAGAGAACAGAAGTGGCCTTGTTACTGTGCATTCTTGACAACATGTTTCTCCTTGGTGGAGTTTCAACTTTATCTTAACATTGAGAAGGGAAAAGGAGATAGATAACATTAGGAAAATGTATCAATTTCAGAGCCTCTGCAGCTAAGACTGATGAATTGCTTTTGAGAAAGGAATGTGCTGCTCACATGTGCATGGAATCTTAAGCTCACCTTGTCTCAAGCTGGTTTTCCATAGACGCGTAACCCTGAAGCCACCTAAAGAGTAGAATTAGGAGAATGTGATTAAACAAAGGTATTTGGACAGGTCATGCCGCTGCTTTGCTGTGTGGCTTGAGGCAAGTTCATTCCCCTCTCTGCTACCAGCTTTCCTCATCTGTGACTTGGGACTTGTAACATTTGTTTCAGAGAGTTACTGTAAAATCAGATGGAACTAAATGAGAAGACTGCTAACTGTCAATTGCTGTGCACTGTCGCCATTATTAATATTATTTTATATTAGTAATGTGACTGTTATTCTTTAAAGTTATTTCATTGTCCCTTGAAGTGACCTCCTGAAGAAAATAATTCTCCCTGTATAATTCATTGATTCTTTTTCATTAAACTTTTGTGTTTTGGGGTAGTTTTAAGTTCACCATGAAACGTCTCTAAAGCCCAGAGTATTCTCAGGTACCACCTACGCTTGCCAGTCTCCCCCACTGGTGGCATCCATTCTGCCAGTGTTTACTGAAAGCCTGCTACGTGTTGGTGTGAAGGAACTCTTCAGAAATGAATCCATCTTTCCAAGGAGGCCCACAGTGGCTGCAGCAGTCAAGGAAGGACAATAGACCAAGTATTCCTGTCCCCATGCAGGACTGAGTTGGGACCAACGATGGATAGTCACAAATAATGCTGTGGATAACAGACCCCGGGGTAGCCCAGTGGCTACAGTGGTGGATCTCTTACCTAGCATGTGCAAAGCTCTTGGTTCCCTCCCTAGCACTGCACATAATAATAAATAAAATCCACAAGGGTGGTGGTGGTGGAGGTGGTAGTGCACTCCTTTGATCCTAGCACTCAGGAGGCAGAGGCAGGCAGATCTCTGTGAGTTCAAGGCCAGCCTGGTCTACAAAGTGAGTTCTAGGACAGCCTCCAAAGCCACAGAGAAACCCTGTCTCGAAAAACCAAAAATAAATACATAAATACATAAATCTACAAATAAAGCTTCCACCCCAGGCTTCTGGAAGCCTGCATACTCCAGCTGTCCTGCAAGCCCAGCCACATTGAAACTGGCTGACTCCCCCAGGCATTGTATAAAGGGGAAGAAGCCAGGAGTTCCAGCAAGATACCTGTGCCCCCCACCCTCTCTGTCTTCTCAGCATTGCAGAGGTGTGGTCTTGCAGTGACAACGTACGCCTGAGATGTAGACTCTGGCCTTGACACACTTTGGGCTGTAAGCACTGGGTCAGTTTCTTCACCTCTCAGACCCCTCCCCCCACAGGACTGCAGATGACAGGGAGTGTGGGTTTGTCACAATAGAGTGGGAAATAGAGAACAGCAAACCTCCACCCTGAAGTAACATGTTTCACTGTTCATTAGGCATGGCCCACTTTAGAGGGATGGGAAAGTACAGTTCAACTCGGGGTTCAGAAACATGGCACACAAAGACGGCCCTGGTAATATCCATATCCCCCCTCTCAGCCTTAACTGTAACACAGTGCTTGTGATACATTGTCATTATTGGGAACCAAAAGAGAAGACCCTTAAAGTTATATAATCCTGGCTGGCCTGGCACTCACTATGTAGACCAGACTGGCCACTCCCCCTGGGGGCCATTTCTTCCAAACCACCATACTCTGATAGTTTAGGAAACAAAAGGGAAGTTGGACATGGTGGCACTATTAGGAGGTATGGCCTTGTTGAAGTAGGTGTGACCTTGTTGAAGGAAGTTTGTCACTGTAGGGGCAGGCTTTAAGGTCTCTCTTTGCTCAAGCTTTGCTCAGTGTGACACTCAGTCCACTTCCTGTTGCCTTCTGGTCAAGGTGTAGCCAGAACTATGTCTTCCTGCACACTGCCATGTTCTCCACCCTGATAATAATGGACTGAACCTCTGAACCGTAAGCTGCCACCTCATCTAAATATTTCCCTTTATAAGAGTTTCTGTAGTCGTGGTGTCTCTTCCACAGCTCTGGAAACCCTGAGACACGGGTTTTCATGGTCTGCCCCCAGCTCCATCCTCTATCCCTGCCTCTCATGGTATCTTATACACCACCTCACAGTCACCAGATTATTTTCCAGGCTCTTTTAGAGACTGCTTGTCTTCATGGCTGGCTCGTGCATGCAACACAGCACCAGGCACTGGGCTCTGCTGAGCAGGTTGGAGATTTCAGAGTGGATCAGGAATAGAATGATGTCATTAGCATAGGGTTAACCAGGTGAAGGGCATTTTAACACACCTGTCACCTCTCAAAATGCAGAATGAGTTGGGCGTTGGTGGCACATACCTTTAATCCCAGCACTTGGGAGGCAGAGGCAGGGGAATCTCTGTGAGTTCGAGGCCAGCCTGGTCTACAGAGCAAGTTCCAGGACAGCCCCCCAAACCACAGAGAAACCCTGTTTCGGGGGGAAAAATGCAGAATGACCTGCTGTCTGTGACACAAAAGTCATGAAGCTATTGTTCACATTTCAAGTCCCATGGTTTAAACTCTCCAGGAGAGCCAAGAATGGTGGCCTGGACAGATGGATTGGTAGTTAAGGTCACATACTGCCCTTGCTTGCAGAGAACCCAAGTTTGGTTTCTAACGCCCTCACCAAATGACTCATAGCTGTCTTTAAATCCAGCTCCAGGGGCTCTGACATTTCTGGTCTCTGAGGGCACCTGCATGCATGTGGTACAGATGCATACATACATGTACACATAATTTAAAATAAATCTTTAAAAAAAACTAAGAACGGTCTCTTGCAACTTTGAGCTTTCAGTTTGGAAGCTGTGGATATAGACAGTTGCTTTTACACGGGCCTCAGGTCTAGCCCCCACCCCCATTGCCTCAGGTTTCTGGAAAGCCAGACAAAGTGAACTACTAATATGTCAAATCACAAATTTCACACATCCCTTTAGGATGTCAGATAATGTGTATTTTATATTGTGAAAGGTCTCTGCTTTCCTTCCCTCCCTGTTTAGATGCAGATGTTGGACAAGTTCCCCATGGAAGGAGGACAGAAGGATCCCAAGCAGAGGATCATTCCATTTCTGCCAGGTGGGTGGGGTGCACACTCTTGGACAGGGCAAGCCTGGACACTGAAGCACAGCCTCCAACCCCCAAAAGGGCGCACAGCTCATCCCTCTCACAGAGGGGCGGGGAGGGGGTCCTGGAGGCATCGTGTCTCTCTTGTTTGCTTTTCTATTGCTGTGATAAACACCACAGTGAAAAGCCACTTTCCCAGGAAAGGGCTTATTTCATCAAGTACACTTCTCCTGGAAGACGAAACCGGAACCGAAGCTGAAACCATGGAGGAAGCTACTTGCTAGCTCATCATGGCTTGCTCAGCTTGCTGTCTAAAAAGCCCACGACCACCCGCCCAGAGGTGTCACTGCCCACAGCAGGCTGAGCCCTTCCACATCAGTTCGCAATTCAGAACATGCCGCTCACACACTTTCACTCCCACAGGCCAATCATATGGGGGCAATTCCTCAATTGCATTCCCTCTTCTGGGTAACTTCAGTTTGTATTTAGTTGAAATGGGCCTAACCGTGTCAGACTAACCAGCACAGCTCCGCTGACAGGAGTCTCAGCCAAGGGCAGAATGAGTAGTTAAGAATGGATGCATGCCTCTGACTAGCTGTGTGACCTGGGTGGGATCCTGCCATCTAGGATGCTCAGCCTCTCCCGGCTCTCGAGTGGGAGCTGGAACACAGAGGGTTTTCACAGTCAGCAACTGGCTAGTATAACCACCATGTTCATTTTCTGCTCCTGCATCACAAGTTACCAACAGCTTAACAGCACAACACAACAGCCATTATTGCCTCAAAGTTCTGTGGGTCAGAAGCCTTGGCAAGCTCAGCTGGGTTCCCTACTCCAGGCCAAAGTCAAGGTGTTAGCCAGGCTTCTCTTCCAGAGAAGAACTTCTGTCCAATCTCATTCACATTGTGGTAGAATCCGTTCTCTGCAGTCTGCTTGATGGCTGTCAGCTGGGGCCATCCAGCTTCTAGAAGCTGCCTGCATTCCTCATCACAGGGAATCAGTGATAGGACATAGAAAATTTCTGGCACTTCAGATCCTTCTGACCTCTGTGCCAGAGAAAGCTGTCTGCTTGGCAGGTTTCATGTGGTTTCCAGGCTGATCCAGGATAATGTAAGGCATGGAGTTTCCCATCATATCCACAGACTCTAGGGATTAGGGCAGGACATGTTGGGGTCCTGTACAAATATCTACCAAGATAGTACAGAAATCTACCAAGCACCTTGAGTGCCAGATGTTACACCAGCTGCTGCAATGGAGGCAGTGCAGTCTTGGCTCATACTTGTGTGCACTCCCAGCACCTTCATGTCCCTACCAAAGAGTAATGTCACGGCTTTAGGTGAAAAAGAAGGGTTCCCCCGAAACAGAACCTACTCCAGGCTTCAGCAACTGCTGTCACTGGAGTCAGTATTGGGCTGAGTGCCTTGTGCCAGTCACCCCAGTTCATTCCCTACAGGTAGTTGGTATCACACCCCTGTTACAGAGGAGGAACTAGGGTCCAGAGAAGTCACAGCCACGTGCCCGGTTGGCAGACCTGGGGTGCGAGAAAAGCAGAGGCTGGCTCCAAGCATTGTGCACCCTGGGCACACACACGGCCCTAAACATGGCGAATGATCCAAGCATGTTTGATTTCCTCTCTTGCACACTGGAGATGAGGATGGTGCCCATAAGGATTGGGTAAATGTCTGACGGGTCACTGAGGGCCACTGCTCACTTGCTGTTGTTACACACAGATGATGGGCATACCGACAGTCTGTGGTTTGGAGAGGTCACCATCTTCCGTCTTTCTTGGGTCCCTGTCACTAGGTTCTCAGACGCTATCAGCCTGGCTGGGTTGGATATTGGGCTAGCTGTGTTTGTTAGGGCCCCTCTGCTGGGAGAATTCTTTGCCAAAAAAAAGAGGGGAAAAAAAGACAGAAACCTAACATTTTTAATCCCTCCACTGGGATAGCATCAACCACACTGGAATTTTTCCCCCAGTGGAGAGAACCCCATGAGCCAGCCGCAATAGCCAAAACTCAGGACTGTAAAACACATGCTTTGGAGTCAACCCTCTTCATCCCCGTGACTTTAATCACAACCCTCACCCCCCCACACACACTCCCTGTTTCCACATCTGTTAAATAAGCTAGTGAATCTGCTTCACAAAGTTTAATTCCTGGCACAGAATGGGCTCTCAGCAAAGGCAGCAAGAAGACAGTCAGGGGCCTACCTTTGGGGGCTCTTGGCTTTGTGGTGGTGGAGTCATTCTGGAATGACCAAGAATGTTCAAGTTCAGCCAGGCTCTAAAAGCCAGACTTCTCTCAAGAAAAAGGGGAGCAGAAAGTCATAGCTTTCTTCTGGATGAAAGACAAAAGTCAGCTCTGGGAAACTTCCCAAGGCAGAGAAGTTGAGCCCGACCCTCTCCCCAGACCTTAAAAGCCTTTGTGGTTACGTAATTCTTTTCCAGCAAGAATTCATGCAAATACTGTTCTCAGGGCCTAGCCCTTTTGTCCTTGTGCCCACTTCCAGCTTGAAATTCCCCAGGGGTCCCGGGACCTCTGGTCCATCCATTCTGAACCCACATCTCAGCTATCCCCCAGGCCAATGCCATGGGCAGGAAGTAGGTCTCCTCTCCTGAGGTCAGTTTTCTACCCAGACTGCCTTGTCAGCAAGACAAAGGCGAGTTTCATGTTAGCACAGAGGCGGGGGAAGGGACCAGCCTGTGTGGACTTTCCATCCCAGCAGGGGCTGTGGAGGCCAACTTGGCAGAGGATGCGACTTGAAAACTAAGAATTGCAGTTTGGCCTTCTTCCACTGTGGAAAACAAAAGCCGCCCATTCCCACCAAAGCTGGTCTCGCTTCTGAACACCCTTTCCACTCCAGTGTGGGGCCAGCCCCACCGTCCTTCCTGGCCTTCCCATTGGACCCAGGCCCATGCCCATGCTGACTGTCCTCACACTTCCCCAGAGAGGCATCACCAACAAGTAGGAACCGCTGAGAGCGTTGGCCAGGCTGCTTGGCACTTGGCCTGAGTGTTACCTGGCTCTGATGTGGCTGATTGGCCCCAGAAAGCTGAGGGTGGGAGGTAGGATTAATGTGTTCTTAAATAGAGTATTAGCATGCCCATGCTGCTTTGGAGGGGCACACAGTAATTTCTCCTTTGTAAGGTCTACCATGGGCCAGGCTCTAGGTGTGTTGTGGAGGTGACCTCTAAGACAAAGCCCTGTTCTCCCAGTTCACAGATTCCAGAGGCCATTGGCTTTGCAGGCTCACAGTGTAGGAGGGATTGGCCATAACCATCTAGTGAGCTCTTCTTCTGCTACAAAGTGTCCCCAGAGGTCCCTTCGAGGCCACACCTTCCGCCCTTGTGTCAACCCCAGGAAACCCTGGAAGCACTGAGTTCTGTGCCTGAGGAGTTCCCATCCTCTCAGCCACCCCACCCCCACCCCAGTGAAACCTGAGCATTGGGCTCTGGCTTCCTTTACTTTCCATTGCTTTGATAAAACAACATGACCAAATACAAGTTAGGAAATAAAGGGTTTGTTTGGCTAATATGTCCATGTCACAGACCATCATTGAGGGAAGTCAAGGCAGGAACTGAGGCAGAAACATGGAGAAATGCTGCTCCCTGGCTGTTGGCTCATTCAGCCACCTATATAGGGGTGACATCACCCATAGTCCACAGATGAATCATTAATCAAGATACTACCCCTTAGGTTTGCCTGCAGGCCAATCTTTTTATTGTTATTGTTGTTTGTTTTTGTTTTTGTTTTGAGACAGGGTTTCTATGTGTAGTCCTGGCTGTCCTAGGATGTGATCTGTAGACCAGGTGGCCTTGAACTCACAGAGATGCCTATAGGTCAATCTTATGGAGACATTTTGTTTCCTGTGCTTCCCTCTTAGATGACTCTATAGTTGGGTGGTAGCTTTGAGACAAGTCTGTTCCTTGTGCTGTAGGTTGGCAATAGCGCCATGTTAGGTATTAATACTTTGAGCCCACTTACCACCTTTACAGTAAGAAGCCTGAATAGTACTCTCCCCCTCTTGTGTACAGAAGGGAACTGCCACCAAATGAGACCACATTAGTTTTGGTTGTGGGGGATCCTCTCCCACTTTGAGAAACAGATGAACAGCCGAAAGCATTAGCTGCCCAGGGCTATTCCACAGCATCACATTCCTTCTTAGTCAGGAGGCCTCACAGGCTTGTGGCACTTCAGTGGAGTCTAGATTGCAAACAGCCCTACCTGCAGAGGCTAGTGAAAATGAGGAGGGCTATTTGATTGTCATAGTGACTGGGGCAGGGAAGGCCACTGGCTCAATCTGGGGTTGAATTGGAAATGATGGGTTAGGGACAGTCCTGCCCTGGGAAGGGTGCCCAAAATCCCAGAAGGATTCCTCCAGGTCAGGGCAACCAGCAGAGCCTGCTGCCCTCACCCAGTTCCCATGGGGATGGCCCATTGAGGAAAGCAGGTTTCAACACTGTCCCCCTCTTCATTCTGTGGGAGGACTTTTTGCAGTTCTAAAAGGAATAAATATGATAGAAACTTTAGGCAAAGCTTAGAGAAGAAAACATGACCTGTCGTGGGCCACTCAGAAGACGGGGCACTTCAAACCCTTTGCTGCATTATCTCCTAGATTTTTCTTTTCTTGCAAACATGGGTAGATCAGAAAGGCGCAGAATCATTAAACAAATAGCATACTAGTTTAGGAAATCCTTGGACAGGAGAAGAGGCGTAAATGAGGCAAGGAAAGGGGGCTGAGTTTCCACACTGAGCTGCCCACACGGCCCAAGGGTCTTGGTTTGCACCGGCTCAGCTTGGAGGAGCCCTTCCTGCAGGGGGCTCTTCCACGTGGTGTCACGCAAATGCAGAAGCTAGAAAGGGGACCTCATGGAAGGAACATAGCGGCTACCAGAGCCTGGACAAGAGTGGGGATGGTTACCAGTGGGAGGAGAAATCGCTGCTGACATGACAGCACAGTATGGAGCCACGCCTGACAACTATAGATTAGGTTTTTCAAAATAGCTGGTAATGAGGTTTTGGATATTTGTATCAGGAATGAGAAATGCTGGAAGTGAGGGCCATGCCAGTCATCCTGATCACTTCAATTGCACATATCACAGTCTTACAGTGTGGCCCATAAATATGTATAGTGGCTGTGCCATCTGTTGTGTTGAACCTACTGGTGCGGAGCTGGGTCTGGAGAGTAGTTCCATCACAGAGCATGTGCTTAGCATGAACAAGGCTCTGAGTTCAAGCCTCATGAAGCTTAAAAGGCTCTTACCCATTGGCCTCATTCTCCCCAGCCGTTGTGCTATAGCAGCAGAGTTCCGTGGAGCTCAGCTTGGCCTTAGCTACCCAGGCTGTCTCCCGGTGCAGCCCGGAAACACTGAGGGCAGCCAGGAATTTTGGTACCACTCAGACCCATCCCAGACAGCCACTCTAGATGCAGAGGGCGGGTCACTACTTCCTGCCATGCTGAATGTGTTCTCATCTCCTGCAGGCAAAATCCTCTTCCGCCGCAGCCACATCCGGGACGTGGCTGTCAAACGCCTGATACCAATTGATGAGTATTGTAAGGTAAGCTGAGATGCCAACGCCATCTTCCCTCGCGGGTGTTCTGTTTTGTTTTCCTTTCTGAGTGCCAAATGTTCACGGGAGGGTGGGAAGCAAAACAGAACAAAACATACCAAAAATTCCCCGTGCTACTATGGAATCAACCCGAATCCACTTTCAGCGGCTGGGTGGTGTTGCCCTGGGCATGAATGTTCCAGTCAGCATTCAACCCCTATTATTGATGGAGCAGCTGGCTTCTTGCTCCTTGAATGTGCCAACAGAGAGAGGCCTGCCTTTTGGTGATTTGGACTGGACTGGACTAGATTGGTCGGGAAGGAAGCGTGTTTTCATTTCCTTTGGTTTCCCTCTTAGGTGAGCAAAGTCAGACCACAGGATGCAGGTGCCATATGCGGTCATCGGTTGTCTCTATGGCCAAAAGTGGAACTGAGGAGGCACTTCCACTAGGCTGGGGAGATGACTCAGTCAGTGAAGTGCTTGCCACACAAACATGAAGTTCTAAGTTTGGCGGAGCACCTACTTAAAATGCTGAGAATGGCATCAGGTGCCTGTAATTCTGAGTTTAGGAGTGGAGATAGGCAGGTCCTAGGGGCTCACTGGCCAACCGGGCCAGCCAGGAAAGCTCTGGGTTCTGTGAGAGATCCTATCTAAAACCTGGGGTGGAAAGCAGTCACTGGCCTGTATCTGCACCCATGCACATATACATATAACATACACTACATACACATGGGGACACATAGTACCACTGGCCTGTATCTGCACCCATGCACATATACATATAACATACACCACATACACATGGGGACACATAGTACCACTGGCCTGTATCTGCACCCATGCACATATACATATAACATATACCACATACGCATGGGGGTGAGGGGTAGTTCTGCTCCTACCAGCTTCCAAAAAAAGAAAAAAGAAAAAGTAGAACCCTTAAAAATGTACTTAACTGACTTAAGTGCAAGATTTATACACTGAACTCCAAAGTGTTGCCAAGCAGAGTTCAGAGAGCTCTGAGTAAGGCTGGCTGAGGTGGTGATCACCTGTATTCAGCACTCTGTGGCAGAAGCATAACTCAGTGAGTTCAAAGTGAGCTTGATCTACATAGTTCTAGGGGAGGCAGAGGCAGGTGAGTTTAAGGCTAGCCTGGTCTACAGAGTGAGTTCTAGGACAGCCAGGACTACACATAGAAACCCTGTCTCAAAAGTTAATCAATCAATCAGTCAATAAAATAACACTACTAGAAAAATGAAAAGGTATGTCATGGATGGGGTGAAAATATTTGTAAATAACTTACCGAGAATACATAAAGAACTTGTACCGAGTGGTGGCAATCCCAGCACTTGGGAGGAAGAGGCAGACAGATGTCTGAGTTCCAGAGCAGCCTGGTCTACAGAGTTCCAGGACAGCCAGGACTACATAGACAAGCCCTGTCCCGGGAAGAGACAGAGACAGAGACAGAGACATAGAGACAGAGACAGAGGGAAGAAGAAGAGGAAGAGGAAAAGGAAGAAGAAGAAGAAGAAGAAGAAGAAGAAGAAGAAGAAGAAGAAGAAGAAGAAGAAGAAGAAGAAGAAGAGGAGGAGGAGGAAGAGGAAGAGGAAAAGGAAGAAGAAGGAGAAGAAGAACAAGACCTGAAAACCTAGGGAAGACCTCCAGCAGGGCCGAGAGGAGGAGGAGGAGGAGAAGAAGCCCTGAAAACCTGGGGAAGAACTCCAGCAGGGCCCTTACCCAAGAGGACAAGGATTCCAGTAAACATGAGCTGGGTGTGGTGGTGCATGACTTTAATCCCAGCACTCAGAAGACAGAGGCAGGAGGAGCCATGTGATTTCAAGTCCATCCTGATCTATAAAAGAGGTCAAGATCAGCCAGGATTACAAAGTAAGAGCCTTTTTCAAAAACAAATTAAATAAATAGATAATAAACACATGAAAAGATGTTTAGCATTGTGAACCAGTGGAGTCACACAATCAGGGACCATAGATTGTTACTAATATGGGGCAGTTGTGCCAGATGTTAGTGAGGATCAGGAAGAACTGGAGCCCTCATCCTGGAGGACATAAGATGAGAAACCATGTTGGGAAATAATTGGGCAGTTTCTGCGAGGCCGAGACAGAAAGACCACAAAACTCCAGGCCAGCCTGGGTACATAGCAAGAACCTGTTTCAACACACCCTGTGAAACAGTCAGCCCTGAGTCTGTCCTAAGAGAGAGCTTATGACTGCACAGAGTCTTGGATGCTAACATTCCTAGTAACATTAAGTCATAATAGCCAAGTGGGAGAAGTGGTCTAAAACTTGATGCTATCAAGCAATTAAGTGTGAGTAGATTCTACAACCTAGATGAATCACAGAAACATGATGCTGAGTGAAAGAAACCAGATGCAAAAAGTGACTGACAGAATAAAATGTGCAGGCAGGGCCGGTTCATGAGCACAAAAAGTCGATGAGCTGTTCCCTGGGACCGTGGGCGGGGAGATGGACTGCAAATTTGGTGTTTGGGATGATGGGAAAATTCTAAAACTGAATTGTGGGGATGAGGGTAGAACTCTGTAATTTACTAAATACTGAACCGGGCACTTTCAGCGAGTTAAGTTTATGGCATGCAAATTATACTGTCATAAATCTGAAAACTTTTATACAAAAGGGGTCAGTGTCGGGACAGATGGGCCCCTCTTGGTCAGGCAGTATCTAGTAAGGGCTGAGAAATCACTCCTGACAGAGTTGCCTGCTCCTGGTCAGACATGGCCTTGTTCCATCCCTCCAGTGACTATGCAAGGTGAATTTCCATATTCCTGTTGTGTAGATGAGGAAATAGAGCCTCACGTCTACTTATAGCCACAGTGTCAAAGGGCTTGCGAGCTGAGCCCAGACTTAACATCCTGGGTACCAACTACTGTTTCTGAAGAAATGAGAATGCAAGAGGTTGAAGTAATCGGGCCTGAACTGTGTCTCAGTGCCATGATGTGAATGCGGATTGAGAGTGTTTATCTAATGTCCCTGTGCTGGATGTGTGACCTGCGGCGTAGCAGTGTGCGTGTGGCAGAGCCTGCAACAACTGGGCTTCATGCTGGCCTCGAACGAATTAGTTTTCTCAAGAGCTTGCTGTTATAAAAACCAAGACTATCTGGTGCTCTTGCTCCTTTCTACATTCCTCTACCATGTTATGACACAGGCAAGGGCTCTGGCCAGCCCCACAATTGTGAACCAAATAGACCTTCATTAAGGACCTAGCCTCAGGTGCTTTTGTATTTCTACAGGAAACAGATTAACAAAGGCAGATGAGCTCGTCCCTCCTAACTATCGTCTTTAGAACGGGTGGGAGGCAGGGACAAGCACTTTGCTACAACCTTCCAACTCTCAGAGGAAAGTTTCCTGTGCCCCCTTTTTAAAACTATAAAGGCTGAAATTGCCATTCTGGAGGTAGCATCCCTTTGTCCAGGCCCTGTTGGCATGAACTTTATGTCCTTAGGGTCACCTTGCCCTGCTGGACAGTTCCTGCCTCTACATTTCCCAGAAGCTGCCCTTCCTCTGCCCACACCATCCTACCCTGTTCTTTCTTTATCACACCCACTTCTCTCTGCTCCCGCCACACTCATGCCCGGGCTTCCTTACCTCGGGATATCTTATTCTGAAAAGGAGACGTTAAAACTTGGACTGTAAGAGACACCAGCTGCCTGCAGCTGCTGGGATGCGGGACGATACCGAGATCATGAATTAACCACAAGGAAGGAACTGCTTAGGTTATACGAGCTGAGCCCTGCAACAAATCAGAAGAACAAAGCCACTATTTTGGTATTTTGATTGTCCAGATTCCCTGGGTCAGCATCAAAGGACCTGCCCTGTTTGGAGGAGATGAAACTGCCCCTTGCATTACAAGATCTGTACTTCAAGATCCTTAAGCTGTTCCTAACATTTAGACATCTGTTAGGGACATTGTGAACTGGCTTGAGGCAATGAAATCCATCACACTGAGCTTAATTTTAGTAGACAGTAGAAATCTCCAACAAGTAGAAATAGGCAAGGACTGTTGGTACCCAAACCTGGCTGCTGGGTGTGTAATAAAATACAAGAAAATGTTCTGCCAGGCCTAGTGTAAAGTCACCATCATTCATATAATTATCACCAGATAGAAAAATCTACTTGAGACCCCAGAAACAGACCCCTGCATGTTGGATAGGTTGGCCATGACAGAGACGACCTTCCAGATCATTGGGAAACACTAGATTCCCAGATAAAGGGTCTCCATCTGGGGATGGGGATGCAGAAGATAACTAACAGCAGCCTCACAGCACAGGGGGACCATTTCCAGTAGCTTAAAGTCATTACTATAAGAAGCAGAAGATCTCAGAAAATAAAATAGCTTCCCATCTCTAGACATGGAGGGATGGTTTTTTTCCATTTTTTCTTTTATATTTTTTTAATAATCTATTTTTTTACATTCCAATCCCAGTTCCCCCTCCCTCCTCTCCTCCCACTTCTCCCCTCCCATCTGCTCCTCAGAGAGGCTAAGACCTCCCCTAGGAAGTCTACTAAGTCTGTCCCCTCATCTCCTTGAGACAGGACCAAGACACCTCTCCATCCCCCATACCCCTGTGTCCAGGCTGGGCAAGGTATCTCTCCATACAGAATGGACTCCATTAAGTCAGTTTGTGCATTAGAGTTAGATCTTGGACCGACTGCCAGTGGCCTCATATATTGTCCCAGACACACATTGTCACCTGTCTAGTTCGGTCATCTGTATGTTCCCCATTTGTCAGATCCAAGTCAGTGATTTCTCACTAGCTCTGGTCAGCTGATTCTGTGGGTTTCTCCATCATGGTCTTGACTTCTTTGTTCATATTATGACTCCTTACTCACTTCAATTGTACTCCAGGAGCTGGGCCCAATGGTTAGTTGTTGATTTCTGCATCTGCTTCCATCTGTTTCTGGAAGAGGGTTCTAGCTTCTCTGGGGTTGGGGATTGTAGACTGGGTTTCTCTTGCTTTATGTCTGGTATCCACTAATGAGTGATTATATGTTATATTTGTCTTTCTGTGTCTAGGTTACCTTACTCAGGATGGTTTTTTTTTTGTTTTGTTTTTTCTTTTTTGTTTTGTTTTCTAGTTCTGTCCATTTGCCTGCAAATTTTAGGATGTTATTGTCTTTTACCTCTGAGTAGTACTTCATGTGTAGATGTACCACATTTTTTTTAGCGTGGAGAGATTTTTAAAGACCCAAAATGTACTGACTACAAAGAAGATGTATTTATTTGGCCACAGTTCATCTAAGAACTTATTTTTATAAAAAGGCACAGTGAAAACACAGTGATGAGCTTGTATAGTCACACAGCCTTATAAGCAGCCACTCAGCTTGCTGTGGGGCTCGTTGAAATAGCAGCTGTCTGTCTGGAGCACGTAGCATGAGCAGTGGCCCACAACAAGTTCTAAGGGCAGACCAGCTAAACCCAGCTATAAAACCCTCAAAAAGAGGCTCGGCCCCAGGACACCATGGTGAAGGATGTATATGAGACATGACCTCACTGACTTCTGTTCACACAGGGGCCCGAGTGTCAGAATATCTCTAGAATACATCTCACTTCTCCAATAGAGATAAAAATCTGTTTCTAACAGCGGCAGTGCTAGTGACTGCAGACAGTGGGGTTAATCCAAGACAGACATGGCTGACACCTTGAGGGACTCTTTTCTAAAATAAACTGGGTTTTGTTCGAAGTTTGGTACCAGGGACTTTTGTTTGGTTGGTTGGTTTGGCTCGTTGTTGTTTTGGTTTGGTCTTTTTTCTGAGAATCTCTCACGTATAGCTCTGGCTACCATGTGGACCAAGCTGGTCTCAAACTCACAGACATCTGCCTGTCTTTGCCTCCCAAGTGCTGGGATTAAAGGTGTGCACCACTAGGACCTGCTGGTACTGAGGATTGATCCCAAGGTCTCAAGGATGCTAAGCAGGTGCACTGTACTGAGCCACACCTCTAGCCCCAGACATCTGGGTACAGCCCTGTCTAGCTCATTTCCTGTTGCCATAACAGAGTATCTGAGACTGGATATCTAATAAGGAAGAAAGGTTTCTTTTGGCTCATAGTTCTGGAAACTGGGAAGTTGTTGAGTGTGGTGCCAGCAAGGGCTTCTTAAGCATTCCCAACTCATGGTGGAAAACAAAAGAGCAAAATGTGGCAGAAAGGCTCTATTTATAGTGCATTGTCCTTCCAGAGCAAAGCCTCACTCACTAGAGAAAGCATTAGTTTCTTTTTATTAATGATTTATTTATTATGCATACATACAGTGATCTGTCTACATGTCATACATACCAGAAGAGGATATCAGATCCCATTATAGATGGTTGTAAGCCACCATGTGGTTGCTGGGAATTGAACTCAGGACCTCTGGAAGAGCAGCCAGTGCTCTTAACCTCTGAGCCATCTCTCCAGCCCGACATTAGTTTATTCTTGAGAGTACTGCTGAGGAGCCTGTTGCTGACAGTCTGAGTAGATGTAAGGTGTCTATATGCCACATAGCAGGGCATGGCACAGTTCAACTGGCATCCTACCTGAACTCCCAGATGTGGTTCAGCTGCAGAAGTTACAGGACTTCAGAAGAAAGACCCACAGTGAGCCCAGGGCAGCAGGTATCCTAGGCAGAAGGATGACTACTTGCCGCCCAGAATTAGAAAAAGGAAATACATCAAAGTGAGAAGTGGAGCAGGAGAGGGTGGCCCTTCTCCCTGGCAAAGGTCAGTCCCGGTGCCAAATGCGGAGTAGGAGATGATTCATGGTAAATTAAAATGATCAACAAGGAGCTGGAGAGATGGTTTAGTGGTTAAGAGCACTGACTGCTCTTTCAGAGGACCTGGGTTCAATTCTCAGCTCCCACATGGCAGCTCATTACTGTCTGTAACTCCAGTTCCAGGGGACCTGACACTATGGCAAAACACCAAAGCACATTAAAGATAGATAGATAGATAGATAGATAGATAGATAGATAGATAGATAGATAGATGAATAAATAAATAGATAAACAAACAAATAAATAGAAATAAACCTCATTTGGGACTGAGGTGAAACTCAGTGACAGAATACTTACCTAGTGTGAACCCTGGGTCCCACCCCTAACACTATTACTCTCTAAAAAAGTGTAGCCAGCAGTCCATCTGTTCATGGATGAACGAGGGGAATACAATGCACATGGACAATGGAATGTTATTCAGCCCAAAGAAAGCAATGTTGACATGTGCTTGAAAACACACAAACTCTCAAAGGTGGCATACATGTCTGCATTAACACTAATGTGAATTGTATGTTGTACACAAGCCAGCCAAAGATGATTTGATTTTTTTGTTTTATGTTTGAGCACGTAAAACTTGTAGTTTGTCTAGGTTTATTTATGGCTGTAGTCAGGGTTTTCAAGGGGGTCTCTCCTGATCAAACCTGATCACTGTCAACTTTGAATGAATCTACAGCCTTTTGTTTTCTGCCTAACCTTTTCCTGCCTAGCTACTGGCCATTCAATGCTTTATTAAACCAATCAGAAGACACCTTGACAAAGACACATCTTCATAGTTACAAAAAGATTATTCCACAACACCCCCACACACACTGGGACTGTAGTAACAGGGACCTGAACCAACTCTACCATGAGCTTTCTGCACCTTCATCTTCCTGGTCCGGGACCTACTCTAGGAGAGGAAGGGACCTTAACCAAATGTTTGTAGAAGTGTGGTGTTCTCTCAGTGTGGGGCCACCCCTGTGATGAGCACTGGGCAACGAAGATACCTGCTAAATCCTTGAATGACTACTTGTTTGTAGATCAGCAGACAGAACAAATGCCTACGGCCTCCTTTGAACTACCTTACTTCATGCGGCCAGCCAGTAGATGTAGCCAGGCTCTGTTGTAACCCACCTGCGCCACTCTGTCAGATGGCTAGGAACCTGTATCCAAATCGTCGGGATTTATAGCTTCAGCTTGGGAAATTCAGACATGGGTTGGACACATTCCAGATATTCTCCAGTGGTGTGGTAGAGGTGGTAGACAGCAGAAGATGGTAGGGAAAGACGACATGGAGTTCACACTGTTAAGCATCGCTTTTCAAAATAGTATGTACAATATGGGTTGGATTGTGTAAAATATGAACATGTAGTGTTTTACACATATGCCAGCAGAATGTATGATCTCCATACATCTTGGAGAGTGCGTGTGCATATGTGTGTGTTCTCCGAGCCAAAGACATCAGCATCACCAAGAAGCTTGTTAAAATGCCCGGGCTCAGGCCTCACCACAGGCCTGCTAAATCAAAAGCTCTGGTGGGCCCCAGTTTATGCTTTAGGAATTGCCCCTGTGCGATCCTAGTGCCTGCCTGGGTTTAAGAACCGCCGGTAACAGCATCCTCCTTCCTTGGGCTCACCCATGGCTCTGTTCTAGGCCCTGATCCAGCTGCCTCCCTACATCTCTCAGTGTGATGAGGTGCTACAGTTTTTTGAAACAAGACCTGAAGACCTGAATCCTCCCAAAGAGTAAGTTGGTCTGTGGACTTACCCATGTGATGCCTCCCTCCCTCCCTCCCTCCTCCCCTCCTGCTGTCCTTCCAGACCCTCAGGGACCCATGGTCAGCAAAGTATAAGCTAAGCCAGAGTTCATTGCTTTGGCCCCCGCAGGGCCTCACTGCCTACAGCCTGCATAGTCATTGTACGTGGAGTAAGGATGGTTCCATTTAAGAGGCAATGGAACCTGGCTAAGCATCCCTAATCCACAGTTCTTCTACACTACCTCCGCCAAGCTTACCAAAGAGTGTGATGGCTAGGTAGACTGAGACTCTTTCCTAGGGTCTCCACTCCCCCAAATGCATAGAAAATGTGGCCCCAGGATCTAAAACACTTATCATATGAAGGCAGAATCAAAGAGGGAGTCTTTCTTAGAAGAAGTCTGAGTTCCTGTAGTGGGCTTGAATTCATCCACTCACTGAGGATGCTGTGGGGTGGAGACTGTCAGCATCCTAATAGGATCAGCTCAGTATAAACAAGGACTGACTGGCTCTCTCTCACCCCTCTCTCCTACACAGGGAGCATATTGGGAAGAAGAAGTCAGGTAAGCATATATTCCATTCTCTTCTTTTCATTCCTGCCATGTGCCCTTGTTGAGTTCCATGCTGGGGATACAGCAATGTGGATGGATGGATGGATGGATGGATGGATGGATGGATGGATGGATGGATGGATGTGCAGAAGGATACATGGACAGATGGATGGTAATCGAATATGTAGTTGGATGCATGGTGGATAGATAGAGAGATTGTGGATGGATGGATGGATGGATGGATGGATGGATGGATGGATTGCAGAAGGATACATGGATGGTAATCGGGTATGTAGTTGGATGCATGGTGGATAGATAGATTATGGATGGACAGATGGATGGATGGATGGATGGATGGATGTGCAGAAGAATACATGGATGATAATCGGGTATGTAGTTGGATGCATGGTGGATAGATAGAGAGATTATGGATAGACGGATGGATGGATAGATGGATGGATGGATGGATGGATGGATGGATGGATGGATGGATGGATGGATGGGCTGATGATTAATGATTAAAGAAGAATTTGAGGCTGTTTTATCCCTTAACAAAACTACTATGGAGAGGATGAGATGAGAGTGCCCTGTGGCATGGGAAGACAGACGTCTTCCTAATCATGCTGCAGAGGGTTCTGTGCCTCCATTCCACTTTGTACAAAGCAGTGCGGACACTCAGAGCCTTACCCAGGGCTGAGAGGGTGAGAGGATGGGGGAGGGGTGAGATGTTAGAGTCCCTGAATCACAGGGACCTGAGGGTGAGCTTTCCAGAGAAGGGAATTCCAGGCTGACAAGACACCAAGCATTGAGGCAGGGAGGTGAAGTCTGCCGCAGATCTGGGCCTGTTCCTTTGACAGCCTCAGCTCTGGCTGGCCTCTAAGCTTCCTTCAGACCACTGTCCTGGACAGAGCTTTGTGCCTGTTACTCAAGCCTTGCTGGGCTCTCCTCTCACATAGTAGGCCTTCTTTAGACAGCCTTGCTATTCTTAGGATGATGCCACTCTTCTAGCAGAGGTCATGAGCAAGAGAAGGGTGGGCCTGGGGGCGATGGTTCCCACGAGCCATGCATTCTAAAGACAAGGTCACCAGCCTCACTCTTCTTACTGCCCATGTTACTGCTGGCAGCCTCAGCCAGCGTGGGTTTCAGAGCTTCCAGGACGCTGCCCTCCTTGAACCCCGGGACGTTAGAGGGGCTCCATGAGGAGGCGCAGGCAGATTCCATAAGATGATATTACCTCAGTTTACTCATGTGTGATATCCAGTCCTGGGTGTGGCTCAGTGGTAGAACAGTTGCCTAACATGTACAAGGCCCTGGGTTCCATTCAAGCGCACGCGCGCGCGCACACACACACACACACACACACACACACACACACACAGGATAATGTGTTTTATTGGATTGTCAGAGGGTCTATAGTAGTATTATAAAACACTTTTAGTAGTATCTAACTGATGCTGTCTGATTATCACTCAAACCTGTAGATGTCTCTGAAAGCAGGTACACACTTCCAGCTGTGGTCTCCTTTTCCTGCTGAGAACAGGATCTGGATCAGCATTGCAGGTATCTAGGCTGATCATGGCAGAAAGTGAGGACAGAAGTCATACCTTATATACGTCTTTCCTTGAGGCACGGCTTCTGGAATCAGTCCCAGCTCCTTTTGCTCACTGACTGCATCCAGCTCTCCTTTGGGTTTTAGTGGGCACTGGTCACAGCCATGGCATCCTGTTAAAGCTGCAAACCGCCCTCAGCCCAGGATAATTACACATTTCTCTTCTTAGCAAAGATCAGAGAGCAGCTGCCACTCGGGGCTGGTCTCAGAGTTTCTGGCTTTGAGTATGCAGAGACTCCCCTAGAAGGAGCTGGAGAGAAGGAAGGGAGAGAGGGAGGAGGCAGCTCTGGTTAGTGAAAATAAGAGTGACCAGTTGGAACAGGCTTGATGAGGGGACCTGTCTGGAAAAGAGAGCTGAGGCTCTAATTTGTGGTGACTGTGGTTGACATCACTCTCCTGCAATGATGGGGATCAAGTTTATTTATAGTCCCACTGGCTGGAACGTGGCACCTTCTTCATTCAGACTCTGAACCTTCAATGGGCTCCTTATATAGCTGACCCGGTGGATATTGCCTTGATTTTAAAGCTAGCCTTCTTGATTGAATTTTAAAGAGATTCAAACTGAAAACAGAAGACACCTACATTTTCTATGAGAAGGCTTGTCTGTCCCTAGCACTGCCCAGGCACAGCCACACTGCCAGCTGGCCCCTGCAGACTTGACTCATGTGACCTCGAACTCTGCTTATCCCATGGGGACTGGGGGTGGGGGCAATCTCACCACAGTTGAGCAGGTCATCTGATGACTTGCAAGAGCTTTTCTTGATTTTTACTTACTTACAGATTCTTCCATCAAGCCTAGCAATTTAGGGAGGAAAAAAATTTCACTTTGACATTACTCATCACTTTAAAACTTCAAGATGTCATCAGAAAGGAAAAAACACCTAACTCAAAACCTAACTCAAAAGTTTATCTAGTAGAGTAGGCACTGTGTGGCTTGAGAAAACTTTTAGCATTAATGACAAAAATAACCCTTCTGCCGTCAATTCCCAATGGATCATGTGGTATAGCCTAGGAGTCTTTTGATTTTATCCTTGGCAACTTCTAGAATCTATCTGCCTCAGATGTTCCTGGTACCATTCATAGTAGAGCTTAATTGTAATATCACATTGCACCAGTAGGGGGTCCCTAAATGGCACCTGAATGGTCTGAAGCCTGGTTTAAGTGTTGATAAGTGGGGTGTTGTGAGTAAAACGCAGATAACTTGCCCTGGGCGGTACTGAAAAGCAGTTCCTTGCTCTTGCCTCTGAGAAAGAAACTGCAGTCTGATGCTCCAAAGCCCTGAGACCCATGCTCTGCAATGCTCCACTCATGCAATCAAAGGCCGGCACTCTGCCCTTCTCTCATGGCTTCTTATCTCATGATTTCCTGATTTTGTCACTCAGTATTAACTAAACTCCTACTGTGTGTTGGGCAGTGCTGGGTCCCCAGGGAATGTCAAGGCAAACAGGTGCATAAGCAAAATAAAATAATAGAGGAGAGCTGGTCGGTAGTAGTGGCTCACACTTTTGATCCCAGCACTTGGGGAGGCAGAGGCCAGCATGATCTACATAGTGAGTACCAGGACGGCTAGAGCTACATAGTGAGACCCTGTCTCAAAAAACCAATAATAATAACACAGACTTTTTAAAATTAAAAAGCAAACTAAAAAGAAGCAAAAGTAGGTGAGGCAGTGCCAGGCCATCAGAGGGGTTACCACAAGGTGCCTCTCTGAGGAAAGGAGGGAAACAGTGATACCAGCCGCAGGAGAAGACTGTCTCTTGCAGAGAGAGCAGTGCATGCTTCAAACTCTAAGAAATCGTAAGCATTCAGGCTGCTGGCTGGACATGACAACACAGGTGTATAATGAGATATGTTTGACTGCTAGTATCAGAAAACCTTAAGGGATTTTAGCTTAAGCTATTTAATGTTGTTTCTTCTTAGTTCAAACCCAAAAGATAGCTGAGAGTGGCGCAGTATTTGATGGCATCATGAATCGAGGGTGCTACCTCACTGCCTTGCCATACATGGCAGCCCAAGAGGGCTGTTGTCAGCACCAGCCATTACATTCCCGTTTAGGCCAGGGGAAATGAACAGGTGAAACAGGGCAAGCCTTTTTCTGTAAGAGCTCCAAGACATTACATATACTTCCTAGTTTATGCCCAATGACTCTTAAGTCTCATGCCATTCCCAAGTGGAAAGGTCTTTTCCAAAGTGTTCAGTGTAGCCAGGCAGAAAGTGGCCGTCTTGTTCTTCTAGAGTAATGAGAACAGGAGAAAAGTGGTCTTCTGCCCTCTGGGGTGAGGTGGTGGGAATGTATTCTGATTGGCTACCAGAGGCAGATTGGACAGGGCTTTGCAGACATTGGGTGGGAGCCACAGTAGCAGAGCCTTGCCTGGAGGAGAAGGAGGAGGAAGAGGAGGAGGAGGAGGAAGAGGAGGGACCCAAATGACCTTCTGCCTGAAGATTTGTGGACACCATGGTGGATTGCGGCTGGTAGCAGGGAGCCAGTTAGGAGACTAAGACTCAGAAGTTCTCATTACAATGAGGGGTTTCTGGCCCTCCAGCAGGCTCTCCTCAGGGTAGACTCTGGTTTGCTCTGTTTAACTTAAAAGAAAAGAGCCCCAGAGAGCAAGCATCTTAGATTCACAACTCCTCACACAGAGTCCTGGAGGAGCAGAACACGGCAGGTTCATCTGACAGGAGGTTCTCTACCAGGTCATGGCCCAATAGGGCCAGGCCCGCCTTGTCTCAGATTCCAGCCTACATAGCTGTCTGGCTTTGGTGAACTATTGGCCTGTGAGGAGGAAGTAATTGATAGAGAGCTAGGAATAGTGACAGTAACTTTTAAGAAATGCAAAGAAAGGACACAGCTTGGCTGGATCCTGGGGTGGACTCAAGAACTGCCTAGTAAAGAAATCCAGAAGACCTGGGACATTGTGTCCTTCCCGGTCATCCTTCATCCATTTCCACAGCTGGATGGGGAGCCCGTAGCCAGCTGTGTGGTAAAGGACATTTCACTTACTGTCCTCGGCCTCTTTCTTATCTGTAACAGGCAGTGCCCACCTCAAGCACAACGATGCTGGAAAGGTTTTCGAGGGCCCACAGCCCACGAGAGGCATTCTTCTCCAGACTTCCTCCCATCCAGCCTTCCTTGCCATCACCATCCTACATGCCTTCTCTCCCTTCCCCTCGTGCTCTCTCTGCTCGGGTGCAGGTGGTTAGGGTGGTCTCTACTCAGATGCCTTCCTTCCATCCGCACAGCAAGAAAGGGTCAATGACCAAAACCTGCTCACAGAGCCAAGAAGCAGGCCTGCCCCCCACATGCCATGGCGGCCCTTCTCTTTGATATCTCTGAACTGAGATGTTCCTTTTAAGTTTCTGTGTTATGATTTTGTGTGCATACCCATCTGTCTACAGCTTCAGGGCTGTACAGCTTCAGGGTCACACACACACACACACAAACACACACACACACACACACACACACACACACACACACACACTGCTCACCAGGGAAGCTGCCTGCCTGGAAGCACTTCCCACACTTTTCTCTTCTGGGACCACTGCCCTGCTCCAATGCCACCATTGCCTCTTGCCTAACAACTCCGTACCCTCAGTCTGGAGTGCTTTCTCCCTTGCCAACCCCTGCCCGTCTCTGCACTGACAGCCAGAATTACTTGCCCAGCTGTAAATTTTGCCATTCCTTTCACAGAAATTTTTTTAAAGATTTATTTACTTTATGTAGTTGAGTGCTCTATCTGTACGTATGCCTTTCTGCCAGAAGAGGGCATCAGATCCCACTTTAGATGGTTGTGAGGCACCATGTGGTTGCTGGGCATTGAACTCAGGACCTCCGGAAGACCGCCAGTGCTCTTAAAGGATGGGCCATCTCTCCAACTACCCCTTCATAGACCGCTTAACCCACTCCTCAGGATTTACAAATCCAAACTTACCAAGTCCTTGACCTCTGAGCAGTGCTTCCCTTGGGCACTTCTCTCAGTGCTATGCCTTCCTCCTGGCAGAACTCTGCCTCCCAGCCTCAGCCTGTTCCTGAAGACTCCCAGGCTTCCCCATCATGGAAGACTCCACCTGCTCCAGTCCCCCCCAGCTCCCAGGACACCTTCCTTCATGAGTCTCCTCATTCTGTCACTCCTTCAGAAGTCTTACTGGCTACTCATTTGTTACAGCTTTGCCTTTCCTGTTCATTCTCTATCCTGCCATGCTGGATATTTCCAAGCTGATATGATATGATATGATCACTTGTTTGTATGTATGTGTGTATATGTAAATGTATACTTTCCCCTATTACTTGAGACTGGTAGTCATCCATTTCATCCATTTTTGTGCCTGTGGTCCCCAACAGTGTGGTGCCTCACTGGAGACTAATGAGTGCATGGGTGAGGAATTTAGGATGATGGGTGGATGAAGACTGGCAGGATGGTGACTTCAACATCTAAACCATCCTCTTGAGTCCCCCACCCCTAAGCAGCCAGTTTCGGGGCATGTGCCACTTCTTACTCATTTGGAACCCCTTGGGACCCCAGTACTCCTGGTGAACTTTGGTGACTGAGTAAGCAAGTGGATGAGAAGATGCAGGGAGGGCATGAGACAAATCCTGTAACAAAGATTTCTCTACTTAGAAAGCCCCTAACCCAACCTTTCCCCCGGTTCCTGCTCCTCTGTGCATGGGCAGGAGCTAATGGGATATCTAATGGCATTTGGTGTTCACAGGGAGTGACCTGACCTCGGTGGACCCCATGGTCCTGGAGCAGTATGTGGTGGTGGCAGACTATCAGAAGCAGGAGAGCTCAGAGATCAGCCTCAGTGTGGGCCAAGTAGTGGACATTATTGAGAAGAATGAGTCAGGTAAGAACCTCCCTGGACCACCTCCCTCACACACACCCTGCACCATCACCAAGCCCCACAACCAGAAGCATGTGGAAACTCCAAAACAAATAAGCAAACCAACCTGGCTCAGCTCCCCAGAGCCACTGAGGGCTCATAGTAACTGCCTCAGCATCCCGTTGGGTCCAGTGTTACCACTGTTCTGACACTCAGGACTATAAACATTCCTTCTGGTTCTCAAGTACTTATAGACAGAGTCGAGTGCTCCATTGAGAGTTTTCTTGTTGATTTCCCTTGGGAGTCCTCTAGAAGGCTGAAGACCTGACAGAGATGTCACACTCCTGTAATTCCAGCACTTGTGGAAATGAGAGAACCTCAAGTTTCAGGTTATCTTGGGCTACATAGAGAGACTGTGTCGCAAAAAGAAGAAACTGTTCAGAGAGTCTACCTATCTCCTCAACCCACCTGCCCTCCCAGAACCACTGGTCACGTCCAGTGGTGTGGTGATTGAGACAGGGGCCTGTGTTACACCTGGACCCTACACTGCACATCAGTTCAGGCCACTCCATGCCTTTGGCTGCCAATCTTGTCATCCACAAAACACAGAAAACTGTCAAAAAATGTTGAAAGAGTAAATGTTACACTGTAGAGAGTGCCTTAACCTGAACTGGGCACACAGCATGTGCTCCAGAAATGCTTGCTTCCTTCCCTGTTCCCCCTCCCCTAGCTGCACAGCAGCCATCACACCATGCAGAAAAAGTAGGGAGTGAGCAGGCCCTTCCCCAACTGCGTTCATGTTGTTAGGGGCCAAGCCCTATGATAGTCTGATGGTCAGTTAAGTCCACGTAACTGTGGAAGGGCCAAGCTTCCAGAATCCTTCAAGTTACCGTTACTCACATTAATCATGAGACTGGTGTTAGCCAATCAGACCCTACTGTGCAGTCTAGAAATAGTACCTGCTTCCAAGAATACAGGAAGATGATGTTTCCGGCATCCTCCAGGTCATGTCACCATTAGTCATGAGGCTGGTGTTAGCCAACCAAACCTCCAAATTGTGCCGTCTGGAAGTCATTGTCAGCTTTGATGACCTGGAAAGGAAGTACTGCTCCAACACCATCTCAGTGTCCCATGCTCTGACTCTTCCAAGGTCACCTGTGTGACTGTAAAAGATACGAGGATTTCTCCCACAGTGAGCAGCACTCACTTCTTCAGTGAACACCTTAAGGCTCTTTAATCCAGTTCTCTTCTGATCCTGCCCACCTAAGGGTAGCACTGGATCCCATAGGCTCAGGCCACCCCTCATTGTCTTAGCTGGGTACAAACCCAGTTGTTCTGCTTCCTACGGCTGGCTATCAAGCATGGTTCACACAAACCCCCTCTGTCTCCATTAAGTGACTTTTAAGACCAAGAGAAACATGCTTGCAGGGTCATTATCAAGGATGCTCGAAAGGATACAGGTGAAGGGATGCACCAGCAAGCAGTGGAAGAGACACTTCACTCACACACCCTTTATGGGTGCTACCCTCCAGGAATGTCTGTGCTCAGCAAGCTTTCCAAACCCCTAGGTTTCTCAGAGATTTCAGTGAACAGGCACAATTGGCAGCTGCGTTGACCTGTGATGGAATAAAAGGGGTCAGATCAAATGCTAATAAATACTGGGGAAGCCAGCCAGGCTGCTCATCCAGACTCTTGTTGCCCTCTGTGTTGTACTCCAGAGCATGGGGTAGGAACTCTTTCAAAATGGGATTTTATAATCTATTATCAAAGTAGGTCAGATCATTTAATTTCTTTATAGCCAGGAGCTCCAAGGTGAAAAAGATTAGATAATATTTTTAGCTTTTATGAATTCCTTTGGGGGAGGGAAATCCTCGCTTCCATGCCTACATTGGACAGAAAAAGCAGATGCAAGGGGCAGGCAGGAAAAGGCTAAAGAGAGTGTATGTCCCAATCTTCTGAGGCCTATCATGCCCCAATACTATTCTAGCCATTTAAGTCATGAAAGCTACAGGAATAGTGACCCATGGATGGAAATTGAAAAATACACACAATAATCCTTGTGCTGAAGCTAGATGAATCAGACTCCAAGTGACTCATCATTTGCCCCCAGGCCTCTGCAAGCTGTTCCTAACTCTGTGGTTTTCTAGTTCCCAAGAGACGTATACAGGTTGTATGGCAAGGAGACAGATACCAAGGGGCACAAAGAAAGGAGTGCCCATTACCTGGGCCACCAGGATGGGTTGCTAGGAAGGATGTAAGAGAGAAAGATATACAGGACAGATAATGGCCAGATATAAACAGGCAGGGGGGTTGCTTTTGACCTGTGTGCAACCTCCAAACATTATACATCCTCTCTAGGTGGCATTATGCCTCATGTAATGTAGGTACTACATTAACTGTTTGTTCAGAGCAGAGGTTCTCAGCCTGTGAGTCATGACCCCTTTGGGGTCACATATCAGATGTCCTGCAATCAGATATTTATATTACAATTCATAACAGTAGCAAAATTACAGTAGTGAAGTATCAACGAGATAATTTTATAGCTGGGTGTTACCACAACATGAGAACTGTATTAAAGGGTCACAGCATTAGGAAGGTTGAGAACCACTGGTGTAGGGAGTAATATTAGGGGTCTGTGTATTCAGGACACATGGAGGGATTTTTAAGGGTATTTTTTTTATTTCATGGTTGGTAAACACAAATGTAAAAACCAGATACCGAGGGATTAGAACATGGCATCTTTAGGTGGAGGCCATTTGGCCTACAACAGCCCTTCCTCAGAGAGCACATGGTGTGAGTACAAAGCCTGTGGCGCAGTCAGACCTGCAGCCAGAATCCTCTTGGCATGTACCAAGTACCTTTTGAGGCCTGTGCCTTTAGGGTCAAACACAGACTGCAGCTCTGCCACACCCTTGATGAACATGGTCACACCTGGTATCCTCCTTGTGTCTGTTTCTTCACTGTGCAATGAGGATGATAATGGTAAGGTTATACAAAATCATGCAAGTACAGTGAACAGCCCATTGCACACCCTGCTAAAGGCAAATGTTTTATAGGCTCCTTACTCTGGGCGACCTCCCTCACCCCTGTCCCAGGCTCAGAAACAACTTTCTTGTTAGCTTGTTTTTTTTAGCAATTAGTAGTTACTATTGGCAGCTGTATTCTACCCAATGAACTAGTTATTTACTTATCCTAACTTGAACTAACTGTTGAGTGGCATACTATACCGTCAGCTTCCACACCTTTGGATACAACCAACCATGGATAGAAAATAATCAAGGGGAAAAATGTGATTGTGCTGAGCATGACCAGAGCTTTTCCCGCCCTAGCCCCTAGATGTGCAACCTAACTGTTCACAGCTTTGACATTCTATTGGCAAAAGTCTCCTGCAGATGAGTTAAAGTCTGCAGGGGTGTGGGAGGATCCTAGGTGTGTCCTATACCCTTATATGAGGGAGTGCAGGGGTGTGGGAGGGTCCTGGGTGTGTCCTATACATTTATGTAGGGACTGCTGTATGTGAGGATCTGCTGTCCTCAGGGCACCTCCAGAACAGTCCCGTATGTGCTGAAGGACAGCTGGATTATTATTGTTTTGCTCTGCTGACAGCACCTTGCATTCTTCTTACAGGTTGGTGGTTCGTCAGCACTGCTGAAGAGCAAGGTTGGGTCCCTGCAACCTGCCTCGAGGGCCAGGACGGTGTGCAGGATGAGTTTTCCCTCCAGCCTGAGGAAGGTAGGAGGAGCTTCCTGCTCACCCTTCTTGGCAGCCTCTGCTCTGGGATTGGTAGCTCACTAGCTCAGGGTCCAGAGCCTGTGCACAGACTGGGATTAGAACTGTAGGGTAAGCCTGTGCTTCCTTAAAGATTTGTGGGAGCTACCCTAGGTGAGCCTTGTCAAAGCTAGGCCCTTGCCCCTTTATGGGAACCCCAGCCAGACTGCTGCTGACACCCCCCTACTCCTCTTTATTGCTGTGGTGGCCACAGTACCAAGCTATACTTGCCCATTTGCAAGACTTTTGACCCTGTCTGTTTAAACATACCTGATTTTTCTGTTGGTTTAGGTGTCCCCTTCTGTCTCCCACACACTTCCTTTTCCTGGGGATACCTCGTGATAGATGTTATATGTGGTTCAGCAATACCAAGGCCCAATGCTTCCTCTCCCCCAAGAACTTCCCAAAGCAGAGGGGCCCTCAGTGCCTCTGGTAGCACACGAGTGTCTGGGAGTCTGGCAGACCTGAGCGTGAATCTTACCTTGGGAGTAACTTTGGGAGAGAGACACCTCTCTAACCCCATTCTTCTGTTGAACATGGGAATGTTGTGACCTTTGTCCTGATCCTGCCTGGGGCATGAGTGTTGCTGGGTTTCAGTGGATGGCTCTGAGGAAACACAGAGACAAATCAAGTATGTCAGAAAGGGGGGTAAAGAGAAGGAGGTTCTAGAAACCCAAAATTTTACATACCCAAAGACTGCATGTGGCTTTGCAGTTGTGGTACTGCCGTGACATTCTGCAGAGTTCTGAAGCTCTGTTTCAGTGGCCCTCCAGGAGCTGGGGGCCAAGCCACCACAGGCTATCACAGGATGAGCTCAGATTAAAGGGAGGGTGTACACTGCTGGCAGCCTATGTCTCCTTACACTGTCTGTGGTGTGTTTTATAGGCTCCTTACTCAGGGCAACCTCCCTCACCCCTGTTCCAGGCACGGGAAAATGCCTGAGGAGAAACTGACTGTTAGCTCCATTTCACAGATGAGGAGCCTTGCTCAGAGGGGCTGATTTTTTCCCCACACAGCTAGTGGACAGGCAGGAGCCCATCTTCCTACAGGGTTAGGCGTTTTCTTTCCCTCTACCATGACAGTTTCTCAGTATAATCATTCTAGGAGTAGAATGTCTACTGGACACCCCTTGACTCAAGTTGAAACTCATTCCCCAGGCATCTCCTCTCTGGGACACCTGGAGCTGGGAGTAGACTCAGGTAGATCCCTCCTAGGGAACATTGCTAGGTGCTCACAGCCCTACAGCTGCTGGGAGTGAGTGTCTCTTACCTCTGCCTTCTGCCCTCCCTCCAACATGCTACCTGACCAGTCTCCTGGAGGTACTGCTCTCTGCCCCGGTCTATGGGCCGCCGCCGGACTCTGGGGGACTTGTATGCCATCAGCTGGCGTCAAGGTGCCTACCCTTGGAGATTTCCCTGCATTTGGTGCTTGGAGCCAGGTCCTTGCGTCTACCTGCATGAGCTCCCTGCTCTGGGATTGCCTGTGTCTGCTGCATGTGAAAAAAACATGGACTTGTCATCTTGTGTGTGCAAGCATGCAGGATGGGGAGGAGTGGGCCTGGGGTATTTGACAGCCTTGGGGCTCTGAAGTGTCCCAGTTTAACAGTCGCCTGGGTCTTCTATGAGAGTGACTGGGCAGCCCCATTACTTTTGTCAGACTTGTTTCTGTCACAGCAGGAAGCCACATCCAGGTCGGTAGTGAGTGGTTCATATCTATAGCACTTGAAGGCCAGGACAAGACAATCCTGAGTTTGAAGACAGCTTGAACTGCATTATGAGACTCTGTCTTCAGTAGGGAGGTCACTGAAAAGCCAGGCTAGTACTAGTTTCAAGCAAGGCTGGTTGTGCCCTCGCCACCTCTGCCCTATTCTGTTTCATTGACACAGCTCTGCTTCTCATGACGCCAATCCCAGGCACCTATCAGGGACAGTCACCAAAAAAAATCAGCTTCTCCTTCAACACAAGCACTAGGACTGGTTCTCCTGGCCCTCCCGCTGTGTGTCATCCCTGAACCAATCACAGCAGCCAGGCCTTAGGGTACTGTGATTCCGCCAAGGTCACAGGCACATCCATCCCCCTCCAGGAGGCAGGGTCTTAGCCACTCCCACAGCACATGGATGAACCACCAGTAGAAGGGCAGGCATTGCTGCTGTAGCCCCTGAGCTCAGTCTGGAGTCACTCAACATGTCAGCATGTCTAGCGTCCCACAGCTTGAGAACCCTCCCAGCTGGAGCCTGAGGGGACCCAGGGCTCATGGGTTTGAATGCACAGATGAGGACCCAGGCAGTGCCCCCTCCCACCTGAACTATACAAAACTGATGTGCTTGGCCAGCAGAATCCTTCCTTCCTTCCTTCCTCCCTCCTACCCCAGCCTGGTACCTGCTGATTCAGCACAAGGAGAGCCAGCTGACCATGCTGAACACAAGATGTGTGCCACGAGTCAGCACAGCCCCCTCAGAGTAGGTCAGCGGGCCATTTCAATAAATAAATAAATGCCTGAGTGCTTCCCACCTCCTCTGCAGCAGCTGACTGGCAACAGATGCCTCAAGTGTGTCCCCGAGAAGTGTGAGCACCAGGCCATGGCTGGCTGAGCTACTCACCTATGGACTGAAATGTATTCTAAGACAGCCCTCTCTTCTCCCTCCTGGGCTCCCCTGGGACATGTGTCCATGTTTCTCTGTGTCAGCAGCCAGAGCAGACACAGACTCTCCTGAGCATCCTGCCCAGGGTCTGCCAATGAGCAGGATCTCTGGGCTGCTGCGGTAACGCAGCGGGGTATGGCTCTCAGGAGGAGTGTGGGCTTGTCGGATAGTGCTGTGGCTTGTAGGGAGAGTGGGGTGGGGGAAGCAACCCAGCCATGCAGGTTTAAGCATGATTGAATCAGGGCTGTACATGGCCAATAAAGAATGTAGTCTAGTCACCACCTAGGTAATGAGAAGTGCTCTCTGTCCACTCCTTGGCAGTTTCAGCTTATCTCTGAACTCTTGGTCTCCACCAGCAAGATCTAGCAGGAGCCCAGGGCCTTGACTCACCGTGTGAGCAAGGAGCATCCCCAACCCTGCAGGGGACAGGGTTAAGAACATGCTCCCTCCCTAAACAGAGGCTCATTCATGAAACAGTTGCCAGCTTTCCCGGCATCTTCAGTGCTGGAGATGAAACCATGACTGAGCTAGACCAGACCCTGCCTTCATGGAGCTCATACTCTTCCCAGGGGAAACAGACTCGAAACAATAGTAAACGTGGAGTCAGTTAGAAGGTAATTCCTGAAATGGGGGGATTAGCCTGAGCGAGGGTGATGAGGATGCTGTGTGTCAGAATGTTGCATGAAGTCATGGACCGTGACCTTGAGGCACAGATTGGAAGGAAACAAGGGTGACTGTGCGATGCCGAGGCCATCAGAGGGACTGGAGCCTTTAGAGCTCTGCAGGAATCTGGGGAGCCAGAGACCTCGCAGAGAATTTCCCTCGGTGTGATTCAAGTTCACAGCCTGCATGCTGGACTCCTCTGGTCTCTTTCTCACCCCATCGCCCTGTGTCCCTGCAGAGGAGAAGTACACAGTCATCTATCCGTACACAGCTCGTGACCAGGACGAAATGAACCTAGAGCGAGGGGCTGTGGTGGAGGTCATCCAGAAGAACCTGGAAGGCTGGTGGAAGATCAGGTATCTGCCTCTGCCTCCCCTGTGGTTCAGTGGGTCCTGGGCCACTGATGGGCTCCAGCTGCACAGAGGTCTGTGAGAAACTGCAGACAGGTGACATTTCTGCCTCAGCCACGAAAGAACACATCTTAATGTGATCTGGCCTCCCTCCCTGACCATACCTTTCCTTAAAGTCCTAACAGACAAGACCTCTGAGCTCCCCAAGCCTCGGAGAGCAGAACACTATAGTATGTCTTGCACATAGCCTGGGTGTGTAGTGGGCCACTCTGTCTGAGTTTGTGTAAGCACACTATGGTGTTTGCCCACGGTAGAAGTTACTAATAACTTTTTTCAGAAATTTCATTAAATGACATGTGACTGTCACAGCACCATGCTGCAGAGTAACATACCCTGGAACCCACAGCTCTAGAGTTCAGGAGGCAGTTGTCAGGGTGAGGTTAAGTGTCATCCAAAGCTGGGACGTACCCAGAGCCTGCTCACTCTCCCATGTATGCCGCCTGTGCTTTTGTCTTTGTGCCCCAAATGATGGCCTGAGGATGTGCACTGTGTTGTGTTTTCAGCTAGCTTTTTCCACTTAAAGCAAGACTTACTCCCTCTTAGAGGGCTTTTAAGTTTGACAAATGCTTAATTGTACAGATTTCTATCTCCTTGTAAATTTGCCTCCAGTCAAATGACCCACTTTTCACTGAAACCCAAGCCATTTTGCCATTTTGTTTTTAAAGCAGTTTTGTTTTGTTTGAGGTTTTTGTTTGTTTGTTTTTTGGAGATGGGACTCCTACATAGCCCTAACTGTCCTCAAACTCACTCTGTAGCCCAGGCTGGCCTCGTACTCACAGAGATCCACCTGCCTCTGCTTCCCGACTTCTGGGGTTAAAGATGTGCACCACTGCCCAGCCGGCTTCTTTAGCTGATTTTTAATGAGATTCTGCTCTACCGTAATCATGACTAGTCAGCTGGGTCTATTCCTCTTTCCCCAAAGGTGTGAGTGCCTGTTTGGAGAGGCACTAATAGCTCTCAGTGGGGTTGGCTGATTTCCATGGTGTAAATACCTGTCCTGTGGCCACATTCAAGCCACCAATGTGATGCCACTAAATGTGGAGTTCAGAATCGATCTGTGATGTGGGCTCTTGTGAGCCGGTGTGGGCTTGCTCCAGTACAACAGACCTGACTTGTTATTACGAAACCCAAGTTCTGCCATGTGAGAATCAAGCAATCATTGTCCTCACTAATGCCCTTTTTAGGGGCAATGAGCTGGTATGTCGGAGTGCTGTCACTCCTCGGTTCAGTGGCAACAACAAGGAACTACATCATTCACGTCTAAGTATGTTGTGTCAACTGACACAGAGCCCTGCCCTGTCGGTGTGAGGCTTTGAACCAGGGGCCAGGCTGCTAGAAAAAGGCCACAAAGAACAAATTAAGAGGTCTGAATCTATTCCTGCCACAGACTTACTTGTAAACTTCAGTGAGGTGTTTAACACCAATGGGTCTCAGACTTCTTGTCTTTAAGGCGGATGCCAATTCTGGTTGAAAAAACCCTTGTCTGAAATGCATGGGAACAGAAGTCTTTGGGATCTGGGATGTTTTCATCTTTTGGGAATGTGGCATATGTGTAATGCGATGTCTTGGGGATGAGGAGGGCCACGGGTAAACCCAAATTCACTGTGTTGCATATACACTGTATAAGCACAGCTGGAAGATGAGTTCATGCAAGTATAATACAGCTGCATTTGGACTGTGATCCGTCACATGAAGTCAAGTGTGGAATTTTCCATTGGTGGGGTCACGTCAGTGCTTAAGAAGCTTCGCTGAGAAGTGGGGGTTGGGGACTAGACCTGCAGTCCCTCCTGCCAAGATTGGCTGTGCTCAAACACGCTAACAGCCGTGAAGTGCTTAGGGCAGGACTGACAGAGTAGGTGCCGAGAGTGCTGGCTCTCACTGGCACCATCACAGTGGTACAGTAGGGGGCAGCTCTGGTGCAGAGCTTTACTGCTGTTTGCTCAAGATGTGATTTGACTTGGCGACTTGTCCTCTTGTCCCCTTGGCCTTTCATTTCTTTACTGAATTTACCGATGCCCAGATGTTCATACCCAAGGGTTCATATTCTAACTAGGAGACAGGAAGGCTACAACCAAGTGCTGGGATTACAGAGTATGCAGAAGCCATGGGGAGACTGGGCGTCGTTTAGGGATCAGAACAAGACTTAATGACATTAACTAAAGCCTGGGAAGAGGAGCAGGTGCCACAAGGAGGGAGGAGGGAGCTTGTCAGGTGGAGGCCCCCACCTAAAGCGGCAATGTGGGGAAGTGACAAGCAGGATGCATTTGGGAGACTGCAAGTGGGAGGGGTATGTGGCTGTTGAGCGAGGCAGGTGGAGACCAAGTGGGGAAAGCCTGGAAGGCTAGTGTGAAGGCTTAGGCATCATCCAAGAGCAGTGAATTGCGTGTTCTGACCCACAACATACAGAGTTCACTGTCCCATTGTCTTAGTTAGGGTTTCGATTGCTCCGAAGAGACACCATGACCACAGCAACTCTCCTAAAGGAAAACATTTAATTGGGCTAGTTTACAGTTCAGAGATTCAATCCATTATCATCATGGTGGGACATGGCAGTATGCAGAAATACATGGTGCTGAAGGTAGCTGAGAGTTCTTACATCTTGTCCCACAGGCAACAGGAAGTGGTCTGTCTCACTGGGCCTGGCTTGAGCATATATAAGATCTCAAAGCCTGCCTCCACAGTGACACACTTCCTCTAACAAGGGCAAACCTCCTAATAGTGCCACTCGCTGTAGGGGTTATTTTCTTTCAAATCACCACACCCACCATCCTGAACCTGTCATATAGAGGCATGGCTTCCCCTACCCCACATACCAAGGCCCTGTAGACCAACCTGACCAGAATCCTTTCCCTTCCTCCCAGGTTCCAGGGTAAAGAGGGCTGGGCCCCTGCTTCCTACCTAAAGAAGAGCAGTGGGGAGCCCTTGCCCCCAAAGCTGGGCCCCAGCTCAAATGCCCACTCAGGGGCCCTCGACTTGGATGGTGTTTCTCGGCACCAGAATGCTCTGGGCAGGGAGAAGGAGCTGCTCAACAACCAGAGGGATGGCCGGTTTGAAGGTCGCCTGGTGCCAGATGGTGACGTTAAGCAGAGTGAGTGACACCCACCCTTGTTCCAGATAGCTGAGGTCTATCTGAGCTTAGAGCATCTCCCAGGTTGCCCTTCTTCCTTGCCACAACCTTCCATCTGTTGATATCCTTCAGGTTAAAATAAAAACTTGGGGACCCTGGGTAACTCCCCCAGACCACTGGACCAGCAGGCTACAAAATCTGAGCAGTATGCTGTCCCTTCCCTAGATTGTCCCACTGTGTCATGATCAAGTTCCTGGTGTGTGTCAGGAGTCTCCTGATTAGCTCACTGGCTCCTCTGACAGTCTTTGAGGGTTGAGACCAAAAAAATAGGTGATGAGACAGACCAAGGTCGTTCACCTGGTAGCGGTGGGACTGGAGGTTGGTCCCAAGGCCCATGCCCCTCCAGTCTTCGCCATGGCCTCAAATGTGAACCGTGTTGGCTTTGCTTCCACCACAGTGCTTCACACATCTTGCTCTTCAAAGCCTCTCTATACGGATTTTACTATTAGTGTTCCCATACACACCCAAGAGCAGTTACTCATAGTTGTCTGCATTGTACTTGGAACTGTGGCCTCAACACAGTGCCCAGCATCCTGTGCTGGTCCTGAAGGCAGAAAGAATCTGTGGAGAAAGGACTCCAGCTCCTCACAGAGATGAGGGCACTGAGCTGAGTTCCATGCTGTCTACGCCATCTTAAGTATGAAGAGTTTCACGGATGCTGCAGGCCATGGCAGGGCTCTGTGATTCTGGACTCTCTTGGTCAAGAGCGTGGTCTGCTAGTGCTAAGGGACCAAATGAAAATCTGAAGTAACATGACTTTGTTAGGATGTTCAGATGCCAAAACAAAGTCTCCTCCCCTGACACACACACATTCATGTGTGTATACACACACACACACACACACACACACACACACACACCTAATAACAGTGGCTCATTTGATCTAGAAACTCACTTCCACTCTACACAATAGAGCAGTTTTGTGTCTACAGCTGAGATGATGCTTCCACGCAGTCAAGGATCTCGGTCTCCTGCATCTGTTTCATGTTGGCCACATCATTCAATGTGGTCCATCACTGTCCAGCCAGTGAAAGGCAGGGAGGAGTGAACCAACTCAAATGTTCCACCTTCCCTCATACTCTGCTGGACTTAGTCACATGGCAACACCAAGCTGCAAGGAAGTCTAGAAAGGGTTGTCCTTCCGTGAGCAGCTAAATGTCTTGGCTAAGACTCTGTTGCATTTTGCATTTTCTAATACTCTAATAGAAACAGAAGTCAGTACTTCATTTTACCCCAGCCACCTGGGGAGAGGTATGCATTAGGCTATTCCATAGAAAAGGACCTATGGCTGAGAGTCAAACAGTAATTTTTTTTGCTGTGCTGGGATGAGTCTGAGCCCAGCCCTGTATAGCTCTGAGCCCATGCTTTACACTGTACATGGACACTCTGCCTTTACTTAAAGGTCAGTGTCATTCATCTGTTGTTCCCATGTAGCAAAGATCCAGGGGAGGCCATGTTGATGGAGGGTCCTGAGCCTAGCTTGAGGAGAGCATAGTCAAGCTGTTCTCACAAAGGCTCATAGAAACACAAACATGTGGCTCCTGGGGAGGGAGGAGACCCCACCTGGCTCCCACCGCTGGGAATCTGTTTGTGGAATTCTGCATGTGAGTGAAGTCTTGTTTCCCCATAGGATCACCAAAGATGAGACAGAGACCCCCTCCTCGCCGGGACATGACCATTGTAAGTGCACACTTGCCTTAGGGCCCTATCTGCTTGTCCTGGGAGCTGTCTGGGTTACCCACCAGTCTTCCATATTCTAGTACTTTCCAAGCAGCTCTCCTTTTTCATGAAGCAATCTATGTGAAACAGGCCCACGCTTAGAGGCACAGGTTTGTCTGTGGTGACATCTGGTGCTCTGATCCATTTTTAACTCTCTATGTCCATTTTTTTATTCACTCATTTACTTATTTATAGGCAGAGTCTCACTACAGTCCTGGTTAGCCTGGAACTCCCTCTGTAGACTAGGCTGGCTTCAAACTCACAAAGATTTTCCTGCCTCTGCCTCCTGAGTGCTGGGATCAAAAATATGCACCACCATGCCCTACCGATAGGTACCTTTTTAACATTGAGCATCCTTAATCCAAAAACCAGCATGATACCAAAAGTGGAATGAAAATTCCATACCTGACATCACATGACAGAGCACAGTCAAAACCCAGGCACACTAAAAAAATCGGAAAATATTACACTCGAGCTGAGTATGCATAAAGCATAAATGTATTTTGTGTGTGAACTTATATACATGTCTCACTATGTATATAAATGTTCAAACTGTAAAACACTGGTGATCACAAGAAATTTGGAAAGGGGCCTTCAGAAAATGTCTGCCACTTTTTGGGTTCTTGTCTAGCACCTTGAATGTGCTAGGTGCTTAGTAGCAAGTGTCCCAGGCCAGTAGTATTAGGATGCCCATTCTACAGGAGATGAAGCAGAGGCTTGACATGGCCCTTCATCAGCATTCCAACCCACATGGGTCTGATTCGAAGACTTGCGGTCTTCCCGTAGCCTCGCTGCCTCTTACATTCTGACACTTTTGTGTTTTCCCAAATTCTCATGATATACTGGGATGTCCCATGCTGCTCCTGTTACTGTAAAGTTGAAGGGCAAGTGAGACCTCAACTGGGAGGTGACAGTCAAATCCCCTTTGTTTTGCCCCTCAGAAGTGAATTAGGCTTCCCCAGCACCCAGACAGTGGTGATGTTATATACCCTAGTCTCTTCATTCCACCATGACTCAGTCAGCCCTGTGTGTAATCCTGCCAGCCTCGAGGCCTCAACCTGCCGAAGCCTCCCATCCCACCCCAGGTGGAAGAGGAGTATTACACCATTGCAGAGTTCCAGACCACCATCCCAGATGGCATCAGCTTCCAGGCCGGCCTGAAGGTCGAGGTGAGCACACATGCTGTCATTCTTCATTCTTGGCATTGCCTTCTCTCTTCTTACCTCCTGCTATGGGGAAGGGGAGACGAGGTTAATGGCTTTATTAAGGTATGATCATATCTTCATGATCACATGCAAAACTGTTTGCCAACCTGAGCAGAAAAGTTGGTGATTTCTTTTATTCAGAGTTGTGTAACCATCACCAACCTCCAGTTTCAATGCCCTTAACAGAAACCTCCCTTATTGCCATAGGAGTGCGGAGGCTAGGAATACAGACCTGAGCTACCCTGGGTCCAAGGATCAAACTTGGGTCATCAGTGTTACACAGCAAGTGCTTTTATCCACTGAGCCATCTGCTAGTCCTATGTTCCTTTTCCAATCACCTCCTGGCTCCCCTCTCTCATCTCTTTCCCTCCCATTCTCTGCATGTGTGCTCTGTATCCCTGGATAGCCATAGTAAGTCCTTTGTCTTCTCATGGGCATCTTTTATCTTCACAAGCTTAGGGATGAAAGATGTTTCCCATGCACTCGAGAAAGCCTGCAGGTAACAGGATAGCATCAAAGCTCTGGATGAGAAATCTTCGGAGATGCCTCCTGACAGAACCAAGGGATCTGGCCACTGGCACCCCCGTTTCTGCTCTGTCATGAGTAAACCTTGGCCAGATGCTTCCTGCCCCACTACAGGAGATAGAGATTAAACCTGCTCATCTCTATGATAGCTATAGTCCAGTCACCCCTCATGTTCCTAGGATCATATCTGTGATTTTGATGAGCATTTAAAAAGATAAGATTACACCAGATATTGGTGGTACTCATCTTTAATCCCAACACTTGGGAGGCAGAAGCAGGTGGATGCCTGTGAGTTTTGGGACAACCAGAGAAACCCTATCTCAAAAACAAAAAAAGAAAAGAAAAGATTATACCTCTGTGGAACATGCACTTTTTGGCTTCTCATTTTTCCTCAAAACAGTACATTGTAACTTCTTACTTCCTTCCTATCTGCCGATGGTCGGTACCATAAGCAATCTAAGGTGACGCATCAACCACAGGAAGATGAGTGGCACGTCCTTAGGACATCCTGCCAGTTTCTTAGTTCATCGATTTGCTCTTCAGCTGCTCAGTATGTTCCTTATTCTCATTCAACAATTACAGTGTTCATTTCCAAGCATTCTTCTTGGTTCTTTTCCGCAGCTGCCTGTTCTCGTTTCATCTGGCCTTGGATTAATCTGGTGTTCCTCTCTATCTGTGTAAGGATGGTGGTTTAACTTGCAGTCCTGCTGTTAACAGTGATTATCACTTTCCTCGGTTGTCAATTCTTTATGTTGCTACTTATATTTGCTGCGGTTATTCTGTGGTATCAGTCCCTGGTTTTGGCTGCAGGGGCTACAGCCCTGAGTCCCATCGTCAAGCATCATAGAATGAAAAGACAAGGCAGCTGTGAGATGGTCCACAGAAATGCACAAAAGAAGTTGATCAGCTTCTAGAGACTTCTGAGCCTGCCACAGAGCAGTGTCACAGCTCTGTGACCCCAGCCTGCAGGGGGTCACAGTTGCCACCTACAATCTCCCTTCCAAGAACAAGACCTAGGACAGAGGCCAACCAGACTAGCTGCTTGTGTGGTGACATCCAGTCATGTGCTGGCTCCTATCCCTACCTCCCTCAGTGCTACCCAGTCTCCTACCCTTTGCAGATCTCCGTGCCCTCTGAGAAACTGTGAGGGCTCACCTGAGGATTCTTCTAGACTTTAATCCACCCCTCCCCCTGCTTCCCTCTGATCTGGGCTGCAGCCCCACGGCTTTCTTTCCTTGAATGTGTTGCACAAAGAGAAGACAACTGTCCATTCCACCTTGAAACCAGAAGCCCTCACTGTAGTCTGTGAAAGGCTTCTTCCCCCCAGAGAACTGAAAACCGCCATATGGTTTTAAGACACAGCTTTTCAGGGCTAGGGGCACAGCTCTGTAATAGAGCATAGAGATTCAGTTTGTGAAAGTTAGAGAGCCCTTGGCAATGTATCTCCTGCAGTTTCTACTAATACAGGGTATTGAGCAATAGGTGCTGCCACCATGGCTCAGAATATTTAGAAGTCTAGCGGGGATCCTCAGGATCTAGGTAACCCATTTGTACTGAAAGGGGGCATTAATGGAGGTGTTGCCGCTTTTTCTTTTCTGACCTTTCTCCTCTATTCTTGATCAAGCTGATCTAGTAACAAACTCATATCCAGCACGCCCCCACCCCCCACCCCCACCCCCCGCCATTGTAGCCCTAGCTGACCTGGAACTCACTATGTACACCAGGCTGGTCTAGAATTCATAGTGCCTGCTTCTACTTCCCAAGAACTAGGATGAAAGGCGTGAGCTACCATGCCCATCACATCAAGCATTCTTTAACAAAATCATAGCCACCACCCACCTGGAGACTTTTTTGCTTTACAGTCCCACGATGTTGGCAGATCCCACCAGTGGATTTTTGAGGGAATGATTGCCACTAAAGCTTGAGGCTTACGCAGTTGTTCTTTCCTGTGATGAGTTCTATACACCATTTTCTTTTTTTCCTCTTTTACCTTCTGGTTCATATCTCTGTAATCTCAGGCCTCCACGTTCATTAACACATCCAGAGGTTCCTGGCAGTCAGGCCACAGTGAGACTCAGCTCGGTGTCTGTCCTATTTAGCTTTCAAACATGCTTTGGGGTGGCAGTGGTGAGTGTACTGTCGGTGTAGGCATTTCCTTGGCGCCTTACCTGCTTGAGAACTAAGCTTGACAGGAAGCCTGGGAAATCGATATCAGCCTGTCTTACAGATACAGCTCAGGGGGTGGGTAAATGCTCATCTCGAGGTACAGTTAGTAAGTGCTGGAGCAAAGAGTTGAACTGAGATCCGTCTGGTTTTAAAGTCCAAGCTCTTCCCTTTCTTTCTGTGACCTTGCATTTGTTTCTTTCATCATAATACGTGGCTCTGTCTACCAACAAGAACATGATTAAAACTCCAAGTAGGAGATAGACATGGGTACATATGCCTTTAATCCCTGCACTCAAGAAGCAGAAGTAGTCTAACCTCTATGAGCTGGAGCCAGCCTCGTTTTCATGGAAAGTTCCAGGGCAGGCTATACAGTGAGACCCTGTCTCATCAGAAAACAAAATCCAGATGGCCAGAGTTTCTGCCACTCTCCTTTCCCTTGAATGTCAGTGTAATAGAGCCACACCGGCGTCTTCTCTTCATTATCCCATTCTCCTTCCCTCACACTGTCTTAGTGATGGAACTGAATGCTGATGAAGGCAATGTGTCCAGCAATGACATTAGCTGTACCCAGCACTACTGAGTATAATAGCATCCTGGTCACCCATTTGTCAGTCCCGCCAGACTCACTGTGTCCTGCCTGTCCAGTGCATCCTTTTCTTGGAGACCAAACCTCTGGTTTGCTAACGTAACACCTACCAAGTGCCCTCGCATGCTTTCACAAAGATGGCACGCTTTTGCTTATTCAGGCATTAGTAATCTTGCCATTGAGTGTTACTGCTGCTGACATTATTCAAGCGGCAGAGCTCCGAGCTGAAACCCAAGACTGTAGGCCCCCAGAGTTGGCCTCCCAGTGCTGAGTCCGTGGCTGCTATCCCTCCTGCCAGTCCTCTGTCCTTATGACTCCTAGAGCAGTTTCTTAGGACAGGCTTGGCTCTTCCTACGAGGCAGGGTCTGGCAGTACTCAGAGCCCAGCTGCCTGCCCTCCACTCTCCCCTCCACCATCACTCTCTCCAGAGCCCTCTGACTGATCCACAGCTCTCCTGATGCTCTGCTCTTCATTTGTAGAGTGAGATGATGGTCCCTGGATCATGGGAGGGCCGTGGGCATCAGGTTGCCTGTGTACAGAACCTGCTGGGGAATCGCTGCTGCTGGCTCTCTTAGGCCTGCCGTACACCAAAATACCTCAGACAGACTAATTAAACACAGTGATTCCCCTTCTCGTGGTGCTGGAGCTGAAGTCCAGGATGAAGGTGTGGCAGGATTGGTATCTCCTGTGACTTCCTCCCTTGATCTGTCTGCACATAGCCACCTTCGTGCTGTGTCCTCACATGCAGTCCCTTACTCTGCATTTCCCAACCTCTTCCTTTGAAGACACCAGTTGAGTAAACTAGAGCCTGCTCTTATGACCCATTACCACCTAGGTACCGCTTCAAAGCCCCATCCAGATGCAAGGAGTGCTGAAGGTGAATGCTTCACATGGGGATCTGGGGGCACACTTCAGCCCATAGTGTAGTTTGTGTGCCGTTCATCTCCAAGAATTCACTCAGATGATACTGGTTCAAAAAGATACAGGAAACATCGTATCTTAAATAACATCAGCATTTCTACTCAACGTCAATCCAGTGGGTATGGGCATGAGGGAGAGATGGAGAGAAGAGATGAAACTCTGGTTATTCTGTCAGCCTCTGTTTCCCTGGATGTAAGCATAGCATATCATCGACCTACGTGTGATTTGTATGTTTAAAGATTCTCAGTTTTCATATGGCATAGCTGCTGTAAGCACCAGCCAGCTCTTCTAGTGTTCAGCCAAAGGAGCCAGGATCAAGGGTAGTTTTCCCTCTCTGTGGCTTTTGCCTTGTACTTCTTTAGCGTGGTAGCAGATGGTGTTGGTGGCCTAGTCCTCCCAAGTTGACCCTGTAGCTTCCCACCTCACAGGAGGGAAAGGGAATTAAATCCAGAGTGCAGAGGGGCTGGATGTCAGTAAGTGCCCCTCCCCAGAGGTGCCTTCTAAGGCACTGTCAGCCACATCTTTCAGAGGGCTTCCATCACAATCCAAAAGTGAACATGAACCTGATAGATATGGCAGTGTGCACCTGTAACCCAGATCTTCAGGTGGCTAAGGCAGGAGGATGGCTTGAGCCAGGAATTAGAAGTTAGACTGGACAATGTAGCAATAACCCCATCTCAAAATCCAATCTGGACAAGAACCCACCTTCAGCGAGGTGTCCTTACACAGTGTGCATAGCTGGTTGTATTGGTTTTCTCTTGCTGCGACAAAACATCATGACCAAGCCAACTTATAAAGCATTTGGCTGGGATTACAGTTTTAGAGGGTTTTTTTAAGAGTCCATGATGGCAGAGCAGTAGGAACAGCTACAAGCTCACTTCCTGTTCCATAAGCAAGAGGCAGAGAATGAGAGAGAGAGAGAGAGAGAGAGAGAGAGAGAGAGAGAGAGAGAGAGAGAGAGAGAGAGAGAGAGAGAGAGAGAGAGAGAGAGAGAGAGAGAGAGAGAGAGAGATTGGAAATGGCACAAATTTTTTGAAACCTCAAAGTCCACCTGCAATGACACACCTCCTCCAACAAGGTCACACCTCCTAGTCTTTCCCAAACAGTTCCACCAACTGGGGAGCAGGTATTTAGACATGAAGAGCCTATGGGGGTCATTCTCACTCGCACTGGTCTAGCATAGACCTTGTGGGAGAATTTGCAGGGTCAGAATACAGCTTCCACAGTACCTGTTTCATATGGGCTCTTTCATAGGTTGTGGACCCTGCCTGGGGTATGGTATCAGACCTACTAAGTGCTTTTCCTGCCCCCCTCCTAGGTGATCGAGAAGAGCTTAAGTGGTTGGTGGTACATTCAGATGGAAGATAAGGAGGGATGGGCCCCCGCAACCTTCATTGACAAGTACAAGAAGACCAGCAGCGCCTCAAGGCCCAACTTCCTGGCTCCCCTGCCTCATGAGATGACTCAGCTCCGGCTTGGGGATGCAGCTGCAGTGGAGAACAATCTGGGTCCAGAAGCAGTGGGGCCCTCCAGACCCCTGCCTGAGGCACCACATGGTGCTGTGGACTCTGGGATGCTGTGGTCCAAAGACTGGAAAGGAGGAAAGGAGGCCCCAAGAAAGGCATCTTCAGACCTGTCTGCATCAGCAGGCTATGAGGAGATCTCAGACCCCACACAGGAGGAGAAGCCCAGCCTCCCTCCACGCAAAGAGTCCATCATCAAGTCCGAAGAGGAGCTGCTGGAGAGGGAGAGACAGAAGATGGAGCCACTCAGGGGCTCCTCTCCCAAGCCTCCTGGCATGATTTTGCCAATGATTCCAGCCAAGCATGCCCCACCAGTCCGGGACAGTAGGAAGCCAGAGCCCAAACCTGACAAAGGCAAGGTGTTCCTGCTAAAAAACGACATGGGTCTAGAGTGTGGCCACAAGGTGCTGGCCAAGGAAGTGAAGAAGCCCAACCTCCGTCCCATCTCCAGGTCCAAAGCTGAGCTGCCCGAAGAGAAGGTGGAGGCCACTCCTCAGAATCCATTCTTGAAGTCTAGACCTCAGGTTAGGCCCAAGCCAACTCCTTCCCCCAAGCCAGAGCCAGCTCAGAACGAAGATCAAGTGGACATACATAACCTCAGGAGCAAACTCAGACCTGCCAAGTCCCAGGAAAAAGCCTTATTGGATGGAGAGAGCCACCATGCTGCTGGGGGCCATGACACAGCCCCCAGCCGAAGCTTCCTTCCAGCAGAGGGACCCGGCCGTGGTCAGGACAGGTCTGCCAGACAGGACGGCCTGAGTCCAAAGGAGTCACCCTGCAGAGCCCCTCCCAGGCCAGCCAAGACCACAGACCCTGGGCCCAAGAATTTGCCTATGCCTGTCCAAGAAGCCACCCAGCAAAGACCTGTGGTCCCACCTCGGAGACCCCCACCCCCCAAGAAAACCTCCTCATCACCGTTGTCGTGCAGGCCCCTCCCAGAGGTCAGAGGGCCACAGCGTGAATCCAACGAAAGCAGGGCTGCCCCTGCTCCAGGCCGGGCTCTCCTTGTCCCTCCGAAAGCCAAACCCTTCCTCTCCAACTCCAGCCAAGATGATGTGCGAGGCAAAGGCGGGCCCCACATAGCTGGCAAGGCGGGAGAAAACAGAGGGAAAGCAGCCTCCTTCCTCAGTGCCGATAGCCCAAAGGACTCACTGTATGTGGCCGTGGCCAACTTTGAAGGAGATGAAGACACCAGCAGCTTCCAGGAAGGGACAGTGTTTGAAGTTCGGGAGAAGAGCAGCAGTGGCTGGTGGTTCTGCCAGGTCCTTAGCGGGGCTCCTTCCTGGGAAGGCTGGATTCCTTCCAACTACCTCCGGAAGAAACCTTAGCTTCCCCACCCGGCCCAGAGGCCCCCCCCCCGCTCTCCCTGCGAGCCTCTCCCGTGTATTTAATACGCATCTTAATTTATCAGTCTCCACATAGTTTCAAGGAAGGAGGCCGTTGGGGTCGCTGTGTCTTCTTCCCTCCCTGGGTGGGGAATGCTTGGTGCAGAGATGTCCTGCCACCTGGGGTCTGAGTCTCCTATTGTGGCATCCCCAGAAGGCTCGATAGTCACAGCCTTTGCTAGGTAGAAAACACGTCAGCATCCCTCTGTAGTAGCATCTATTCTCCTAGTCAGTGGTATTGTCACCCAGGAGCAGGACAGTGACACTCTCAGAACTGAGAGCTGTCACCTGGAAAGCTTCGGGACTGCACCTCAGTGCTCAGATGTGACATAGAGGGACAGCCCACACAGCTTGTGACAACTCGATCTAACTTCTCCATGTTTATAGAAGCCCAGTAGTGGCTTTGTTCACTGTTCCCAGAATGCCTGGTACCTGGGAGAACTGTGTCCTGAGGGAATCAGCTTCTGGGCTTTCTGTTTCTTAGTCCTGACCAGATGCAGCTGCCCTGAAGAGGTCCTGGAGAGTCGCTTGGTCATCCTGCCTCCTGTCTGTCTGCCTTGGACTGTGATCAGTCCTCAAGAAGCATGCTTCACTTCACTGCTGCTGCCTCTGGTCCATCCAGGGCTTTCAAATTACAGTTCCTCTCCAGTCCCTAAAACAGTTCCCAAGTTTGTTTAAATAAGGACCCTTCACAAGGCACTCAGCCTGTGGGTACTTCTTTGCCTGGTAGGTGCCGAACTGCCCTTAGTCTTTTGCCTTCATATCCAAACCTTCAGCCAGCCCCCACTCATTTTCTAAATGAGGAAGCTCAGGCTCTACAGGACACACCAGCTAGGAAGAAGAGGGAGGAAGTTCGAGTCCAGACCTGCCTGATTCCAACACCCATATTCTTCTTCCAGAAAGAACAAGCCAGTGAGAGAAGAGATAGGAGTTGACTGGGTAAGGGGACAGTAGTGAGTGCCCTAGACTTGTAGCTGCTTCTCCAGGGCAGGGCATGCCCTGGATCCTTAGTAGTTGCCACAGAGCTTGTAGGTTGGTTCCCTGTGCAGAAGGGGAATACAGAAAACTGACGCAGTGTCCCATGGTGATTTGAAGGGTGCTGTGGTAGCTAAGGACCAGCTGCTGGGTCGGTGACAAACTCAGCAGAGCATCAGTAGCCAAGACCCTGAAGTAGCCAAGACTTGCCCCCAGCAGGTGTGGCTTCCTGTAGAGCAGTTTGCTTTTTAGTGTGCTTCTCCCTAGGAGAAGCCCAGGGCAGCCCTTCCCTATTTTGACTAATTGACTTAACTGAGGACTCAGGATGTCTGCTTAGCTATTGCAGGGCTAAAATCAGGACTCAGATTTCTAGCCCCTAGCCCAGAGCAACTTATACCTATGAACAGACTTCCTGTAAAAGAGGGGTGGGATTGAGAGGGCAAGAACCCTATCCCATCCCAAAGACCCTGCAGAAGATACCACCCTGTCCTGCTCTACACCCACCCTAGAAATCAATCTCAATATCTCTCTCTCTCTCTCTCTCTCTCTCTCTCTCTCTCTCTCTCTCTCTCTCTCTCTCTCTCTCTCTCTCTCACCTTTTTTATTTTTTTAACCTGTGCTTTGGGAACCACAAAGGCCCTTTCCCAAGATGTTTGCATCTTACCTGCAGTGCCAAAGATTTTGTGCAACAGATCTCTTCTGCACACCCACCCTTTCCCAGCCCCCTCTCTGTGCCCCCCTGGCTCAGGTTGCTTTCCTCTAACCCATGGTGGCACCACGACTCTCACCTTCTGCTCAGCTCCACCCCCAGAGTACTGGGCCAGGGAATGAGACACCTCCTGAGGGACAATCCTGCTTAGTCTGTGCCCAAGGCCTCAGGAGAAAGCGGTAGTTAGAGAGAGGGAAGGCTGAGAGAGTCTTAGCATTTCTTCAAGGCTACACACACTCCCACTGTGCAGGAAGCCTCATAGCTTTTGTTTTGTTTTGTTTGAGTTTTGACACCTTCACTTGAATAGCTTTCATGAAGCTGTTTTATAGGTCTTTGAAGAAGCAAAGGTTTTTTTGTTGTTATTTTTTTGTCTTGTTTGCATTTGGCTCTCTGTAAACTTTTCAAGTAGTTTGCAAGTCCCTACTTTGCAACAGGTACTAGAATTTGCCTTTTGCCCTCTGCTTGTGCTGATGTGAAGTGTAGGTGTACAAGGTGCATTCTTGTTCACTGTCCTTTTCTTGGGTCACATGCACAGCCTGAAGATTCCATGGCAAACTCCATCTGCCACTATGGTCATCATTGCTTTGGTCAACTGGAAGTGAGTGAATCCGCAGAGCCAGCGACTCACCCAGCTTCCCTTGCCTGGGACTTAGCTTTTCAACATCCAGGACTGTGGCCAGTCCTCTGTGATGGAGCCTACGCCAGACTCTCCTCTATCCCTGCCTTGGAAAACTTCCAAGACCATGGAAGCAATGCCTGGGCCAGTCACAAATCAGATCACCGATACAAACCTGCCACCACCCCCTTAACTAATCTTCACATCATCCCTGTGAGATGACAAAGATCAGCCCCAATATGTAATGAATGAGAAAGTTAAGGCGTGGAGAGTGATGGCACATCCAGCCTTGTCCAGATATTGGCCACCGGCAGAGAAATGTGTATAGTCCTTGCAGGCAGTCGGATGACCCAGTTTCTGAATTTAGGTGTTTTCCCCACAACCCCCTGGCCAAACATTGGTCATGGGCCAAATGGCCCTGCTCTCTGGATGTGTTGTTTCAGCCTGGGAGCAAGTGTAGTGTCCTGACCTCTGGAGGCCAGTTGATAAAATGAGACTTTGCTTATATTTTCTGGCTAGAGTCACTCTTGACCATTCATGGCCCCAGACAGAGGCCAGGGGAGGTTTGAGCTCCAACTACTTCCTAGTCTGTCAGGAAATGGCTAGAGCCATACCAGGCATTCACAGGCATTTTTTAGCCTCTGCTACCAGGTTTCTCCATAGAGTAGATTTCTATGGCACAGTTTCTTGACCTTAAACTGTTTTGAACCCACTGGGGACTTGGGTAGTATGTGGAAAGCAGGGGACTTGTGTGCCTCGGAAAAGGATAGGTGCCAGATCTCCCCAAGACTTAAGAAGAACAGTCCAGTGTTATCACCAAAGATGTGTTCTGAATGGGAGGAAGAAACTGTCTCAACCCTCTCAAAGCCTCCCATGGGGCTCTGGCTCCATCCCAGCATCACATAAACAAGACCATTAATGGCTTAGTTCCTGTCCTCCCATTGAGCTCTTCAGTGCTGACATAGTCAGCACCTTAGGAAGCCTTGCCATTTCTCTGAATAGTGTGGCAATCTTAGCCCTTTCACTGGCTGGCTAAACTGTCCAGGGCTTTTCTGTATACTACAGACAGCCATATCCTACCACAGACCAAAGATTCCCTGAAGTCAGAGGGGTGTGGACTGAATGGGTAGGAAATGAATTTTCATCAGGGCCTGAAGCCTTGCCTTTGCTTGGAAGAATAGCTCCTAACTTGCTAGGGTTCTAGCAGCTGGACTGACCTGACCCCAAGCAGAGCTACAGAGTCAAGACAATGGTTCATACTCCTTACCTGCTCATGGACCGCCTTCTGAACAGACTTCCCACAGACCAGGCCTCCCTGCTCTGGCAAGTGATGCCTGGTCTCCGGTGCTATCTAGTTGAGGTACCAAGCCCCTTATATGTGAGTGTTCCATCTTCCTTCTCACCTCCATCTTCTCCACAGTAAGCCAGTCAGAATGAGGGCTTTCATCCTTCAAAAGACCAGACCTGGTGCCATCGCCAGTGGCCTTCAGTCTCACTTCTATGCTTTTAGGAGCAAAGGTGCCCCAGCAGGCTTACTACAGCAATAAGCAATTCTAATGCAATGGAGGTATCCGTATTATGCCTGCAATGCCTTTGTGCCCTGTAATTATTAGTAGCGCCTCTCTTACAGGGGGAATGTGATAAACCATGGTCACCTTAGCCATACACAGTTCCTGTTTTGGGACCACCGAGGAGCTAGGTTGCTTCTGACATCCCTCTAGGAACAGTGGGCTCTGAGCAGCATGGCCCATTGTGTGTGTCTGCCCACCAGTGGTGCTGGGGACCCCTGGGTTCTCAGCCCTTCTCACACCCTCTAGGTTGACTGACAGATCCTGGGGTTGGCTTTTGTTTCCTGTGAGTGTTTAATGTGAGGGGGCAGGGGGTGCACACCTAGCTGTAGCATGTAGAGACTGTATACCATTAGACTTTTTCTTTTTTACAATAAAAAAAATGCTTGACTGGTTTCAAGCTTCATTGTAAAGGTGGAGTGCTTGTGGGTTTCATTTGGCTGAAGGAAATGCATGGCTTAATGCTCTCGTATCTGCACCTGAGGTCTTTGCATCTGAAGAACAGAAATGAATGCAAGATATCTGGGCCTTACCCAGAAGCAGTAGTGTCTCTTCCCTGGGCCTTGGCACACCTTCAGTCTTTTAAAATTAATGTCAAAGACAAAACAAAACAAAAAACAGCCTGGTGGTGGTGGTACATACCTTTAATCCCAGCTCTTGGGAGGCAGAGGAATGCATATTTCTGTGAATTCAAGGCCAGTCTGGTCTACAAAGCAAGTTCCAGGACAGCCAGGAATACACAAAGAAACCCTGTCTCAAAAACAAAACAAGCAAACATAAAAACACAAGGGAAAGCCACCTTATATTTGCAAGGTATCTTAGTTGTACCTAAAGATTGGAAACGTCGCAGGTCCCGGGTGACTTGCTCCTGCTGGCACTGCTTTCTGGTGAGTAGGAGTACAGGCAGGTAGCCATCGTTGGGTACACGACACCCAGGTTCTCTGTTCACAAAAGGTATTTATTAATTTCTCAAAGGCAGAACCAAGGCAAAGTCTCGAGAAAACCCGAGAACATTTGCCACCCTCTGGCTTAGTGTTTATGACCCTCCCATCTTATTTTTCATAAAATATAAGTATACCAAAGTGTGTTTATGGAATTCCTACATCTCATCATGATCCCAGAAAGTGTACTGTGGCCAGTTTTATTTGGTTAAACTTTCATGAGGACCCTTCCATGTTCTCTGGGCACATAGATACACTGGCAATGGAAGATAAGGAGAAAGGGGTTTCAAATGCCTGATGGAACTTAGCCCAGTGTTTCCAAGATGTATTTGATGAGAGTCTTGTTGTTCGTGAGACATTTTAAAATGCCACACAGAACAAACTCTGCTGCTGCAGGGCCTGTGTTAATCATTTACAATGTCATAGTATACTGTAGCACCTGTGTCCCTATCTGAAGCCACCAGCCTTCATGCCCATGTCCTGCCCCCACAGAGCAATATGGACAAGGTCAGGAGTCAGGGCTTCTATTTAGAAAAAACCAACAGATTCACGGATTTTTCCCAGAACCCTCCAAATGCTCACTTGGAGAGCCCTGTAGAAGTTCCTCAGAGAAGGTTCTAGAGGCTTCAAAGCACTTGCCTTGAGAGTGGGTAGGGACCTAGTGATCCTGGAGAGCTGGACTGGGCTGCACTCAGGCTGCTGTGAGCGCACACTTGCTATAGTCCCTTCCTTGTGTTTACAGTGGCACATTACGCAGTAATGTGTAATTTACCATGTTGCACCAGATTGCCTTGTCCAGCCTTAATAGAAGAGGAGGTACCTACTCTCACTGCAACTTGATATGCTGTGCTGGCTGCTGTCCATGGGATACCTGCCTGTATCTGAAGAGAAACAGTGGAGGAGGAGTGGGTGTGGCCGGGAGTTAGGGGCGAGGAACTGGGATGAGGGGCGGGAGAGGAAACTTTGGTTGGGATGTAAAAACAAAAATACAAATAACTAAATAAAGCAAAACGTTATTAGGCCTATCTAGAGAACATCAATTAAGGCAGCATGACCACTTTGAAAAGGACATAGCTCAGTGGGTAAAGGTGCTTACAGCAAGCCCAGTGACCTGAGTTCCAGGCTAGACCCACATGGTAAAGATCTGAGTAATGCAAATGCAAGTTTTCCTCTGACCTCCATCCATGCACCCTGGCTTAAGCATGGACCCATATAAAGACATGCACAGCGCGCGCGCGCGCGCGCGCGCACACACACACACACACACACACACACACATAAACATATACACATCACACACACATGCGCATGCACACACACAAAATAAGTAAATAAAAACTTTTTTTAAAAAATTTACCATGTTGGTTGGTTCCAGTGCAGCTCAGTGGCATCAATGTGCATTGTTAACACAACCATCAGCATCTGTCCACAGAACTTGTTTATGCAACGGAAATTCCATACCCATTAATACAGTTCTCTCTTCTTCCCTTCCCAGGGTCCTAACTCCCATTCTACCTTCTGTCTCCGAGTACTGACTCTCTGGGTACCTCACATAATTAGAATCATGCAGTCATCCTTTTATGACTGGCTTATTTCACTTAACGGTGTCCTCATGGTCTGTCTGGCTGTAGTAAACATCAGAATTCCTTTCCTTTTTAGGACTGAATAATAACACTTTATGTGTCGGTTCCCACCTTCTTTAACCGTTTATCAGTGAGCACATGGGTTGCTTCTGACTTTCGGCCATTGTGAATAATGCTGCTGTGGAACCTAGTGTGAAGCCAGGTACATGACTCACACCTGTCATCCCAGCGTGCGGGAGGCTGAGGCAGCTGAGGCAGGGTGATTGCCAGTGAGCTCCAGGCTGGCTTGGGTGAAACCCTTTCTCAAACAAAGGGGAGCTGGAGAGATGGCTCAGCAGTAAAAAGTGTGTATTGTTCTTGCGGAGGATCCGAGGTCAGTTCCCAGCAACCACGTTGGGCAGCTCATAATCCCTGTAACTACAGACTCTCATGACCCTGGCCTCCATTGAGACCTACACAGACACACACAAATATACATATTTTAAAACAAAATAAGTCTTTATAAAACAAACTGGTAATATGGCTCAGCAGGTAAAGGAGCTTGACATAAAAGCCTGGTGAGGTGACCTCATGAGTTCAGTCCCTGGAACCCACAGAAAGTGGAGGGAGAGAACCAAAATTGTCCTCTGACATTCCCATGGGCACTATGGCACACAAATGAGCACACATGCACATGCAACAATAATAATTTTGTTTTTGTTTTCTGAGACAGTTTCTCTGTGTAGCCCTGGCAGTCCTGGAACTTGCCCTGTAGACCAGGCTGGCCTCAAACTCACAGAGATCTGCCTGCCTCTGCTTCCTGAGTGCTAGGACTATAGGCGTGAGCCACCACTGCCCAGCTCTGAAGTTTTATTTTTAAAAGTGGGCAAATACCTGCTGAGGTCTTTGCTTTCACTTAGAATTATTGGGTCAATGGTGATTCCATATGCTGATGGAATGTATACTGCTGGGTGCACTTGTGCAGAGGCCAGAGGACGACATCAGGTATCCTCCTCTGTCCCTCTCTGTCTCATTTTTTTGAGAAAGTGCCTCTCATTGATACAGGAGTTCACTCATTTTGGCTAAGCCAGAGCCAACGAGCTCTTAGGGTCTGCCTCTTTCCATCCTGCGGTTCTGGGATTACAGGCACTAAAGGCTATGCATGATTTCTGTGTGGAGTCTGGGGGTTTGAACTCGGGTCCTCTTGCTTTCACAGCAGGCATTTCTTCATACTCAACTATCACACCAGCCCCTATGTTGAAGTGTTTGTTTCCATAGCTCTCTGTTGTTAACTTCCGGTCACATTCTAGAAAAAAAAATGATTGTTCAAATTTGAGTTTGTACTAACCTAGAGTTAACAAAGTTCTTATAGACCCCAAGTATTTAGAGTTGCATTATTTTGATTATGGTGCCAATATATAATATATATCAGGCACAAATGCCCTTCTTGTAGCTATAGTAGAAATAAAATATGAGTACCTTGGAGCTGAAAAGATGGCCCAGCAATTAGGAGCACTAGCTGCTCTTCAGAAGACTTGAGTTTGAATCCCAGCACCCAGACAGCCACTAGCAATCTTCTATAACTCCATATTCTGACTTCCCAGAGCACCAGGCACAAACATGATGTGCAGACATACGTGCAGGCAAAAAAACCATACACATAAGTATTTTTTAAAAATATGACCACCTTTAGGAGCTACTGCACAGCTTCTAAACTAAGAGTGTACCTTAACAACAACAGTAACAGCATTGATGTTGCTACTTATCTCAAATATTTGTATATATATATATATATATATATGTGTGTGTGTGTATATATATTCACATATATATGTATGCATATATTAGGCCCCTCATCTTTGCTGCAGTTATCTCCCTATACACACTAACAGATGGAGCCTCAGTGGGACAGGTGTTTGGAGTCTGCCTTTCTAGATATGCTGTACTGTGAGACTCATCTTACTCTAATGGAAATATTGGGGAATCTTTGGTAAGATGGTGTGCATTTTACTCTCATTTGGCACAAACATAACACTTTGGTATGAAATCGCACTTGAATCTTTTCTCCTCAGCCCAGCAACTTTGAAGGACCAGTCTGAGGTCCCCATTTGCTTGATAGTAGAGCTTGGTGACTGGGACCAACATGCAGATTCCCACCCATTTTTATTTTAATGTCATCAAAATGAAAACCCACAAAGTCAATATTCTGATGTGTCACTCAGTTGCTTGCCTGGTACACATGTGGCCCTAAGTTCCATCTCTAAAGCTGTAAAAAGAAAAAGGAAAGAATGCCACCATTCTTACTGGGAAGTTTTTCCTGACCCTTGCTTAGCCATGCAAGCCTGGGATGGAACATGCAGACTCCCCAGCTGGAAACTCTTTGAGGGACCTCCCTCCTTTCTGTGGTTCCCTCTCAACAGGGCAGAGGGAGACACAGGAGCCTGGGCAAGCCCTGGGCAAAGCAGGATTTACTTTGGACTAGAACTGGCTCTCCAGTGACACACATCAACAGTGTGGCAGGGCAGATAGACAAACGTGAAACTCCTACTGCAGTTTCCTTCACACCCCTAAACAGACAATAAGAAATAGAGTGGGGAGTAGAGTTGGGCAATTAATTAGTAAGTTATTTCACACATCATCATATGAAAACAAAGAACAATGTGTCTGCCAGCAGAATACAAAGCTGACCTAAAATTTTAAGGTAAAACTACAGATTCCAGAGAAAGCTCGGGTGGGCTGCTTGAGGTCAAACCCCGTCGACAGGCTCAGAAGGGAAAGTGAGGCAGGAAAGAGAGAACCAAGCAGTCCGTCACTAGGCCACAAGCAATTGGCAGACTGCTTTCAGGTGTGTTCTACTGGTTGGGTGCACTGTCAGTCCAAACTAGACTCCACCTAGCATGCTCAGGAAAA